TGTGATAGATTCCTGTGATGTGGGACCCTTAATGTGTTTTTGAAAGCTTGTGAAAGAATCTCGACGATCCCTTTGGTGTCATTTTTTAAGGTTGTGAAAGAATCACGAGGCTCCATATTGTGTCTTTTATTAAGGTTGTGAAGGAATCTCGGGATCCCTAGCATGTTTTTTCAAAGTTGTGAAAGAATTTCGGGGTTAATCTTGTGTCTCGGGGATTCTTAAAATATTTTTAAAAGGTTGTAAAAGAATCTGGAAGCTCTTCTTTGTGTAATTTTTTTAAGGTTGTGTAAGAATCTTAGGGCTTCCCTGTATATATTTTTTTAAGGTTGTGAAAGAATCTTGCGCCCCCTATCATTTCTTCTTTTAAGGTTGCAAAAGAATCCCGGGGTTCCCTGCTGCGTTTTCGTTTTAAATTTGTGATTGAACATCGGGACTTCATGTTGTGCCTTATTTTGAGTTTGTGAAAGATTCTCGGGGATTGTTGATGTTTTCTTTTAAAAAAAGAATTTCGATGGTCTCTACTGTGCCATTTTTTGAATTTGTGAAAGAATCTCCGGGTTCCCTTTGGTGTAATTTTATTTAAGTTTGTGAAAGAATCTCGGGGTTAATTCTTGTGTCTCGGGGATTCTTAAAATATTTTTAAAAGATTGTGAATGAATCTGGAAGCTCCCCTTTGTGTCATTTTTTTAAGGTTGTGTAAGAATCTCGGGGCTCCCCAGTGTAGCTTTTTTAAGGTTGTGAAAGAATCTTGTTTCCCCTATCATTTCTTTTTTTAAGGTTGCGAAATAATCCCAGGGTTCCCTGCTGCGTTTTCGTTTAAGTTTGTGATTGAATATCGGGGCTCCATGTTGTGTCTTATTTTGAGTTTGTGAAAGATTCTCGGGGACTGTTAATGTCTTTTTAAAAAAAGAATTTCGATGCTCTCTAGTGTGCCTTTTTTTGAAGTTGTGAAAGAATCTGCGGGCTCCTTCTGGTGTAATTTTATTTAAGTTTGTGAAAGAATCTCGGGGTTAACTCTTGTGTCTCGGGGATTCTTAAAATATTTTTAAAAGGTTGTGAAAGAATCTGGAAGCTCTCCTTTATGTCATTTTTTTTAAGGTTGTGAAATAATCCCAGGGTTTCCTGCTGTGTTTTCGTTTTAAGTTTGTGATTGACTATCGGGGCTCCATGTTGTGCCTTATTTTGAGTTTGTGAAAGATTCTCGGGGATTTTTAATGTTTTTTTTTAAGAAAAAATTTCGATGTTGCCAAGAGTGCCTTTTTTTGAAGTTGTGAAAGAATCTCTGGGTTTCCTTTTGTGTAAATTTTTTTTAAGTTTGTGAAAGAATCTTGGGCTCCCTGCTGTTTTTTGTTTTAAGTTGTGCAAGAATCATGGGGCTTCCTGTTGTACTTTTTTTAGGTTGTGAAAGATTCTCAGGGATTCTTAATGTATCTTTTACAGGTTGTGAAGGAATCTGGATGCTCCTCTTTGTGTCATTTTTATTAAGGTTGTGTAAGAATCGGGGGGCTCTCTATTGTGTCTTTTTTAAGGTTGTGAAACAATCATGGGCTTTCTATTATAACTTTTTTTGAAGTTGTGAAAGAATCTCCGGGTTTTCCTTTTGTGTAATATTTTTTTAAGATTGTGAAAGAATCTTGGGCTTCCTGCTGTTTTTTTGTTTGAAGTTGTGAATGAATCTCGGGGCTCAAGGTTGTGCCTTATTTTAAGGTTGTGAAAATTCTCGATGCTCCCTAGTGTGCCTTTTTTTGAAGTTGTGAAAGAGTCTCCGAGCTCCCTTTAGTGTAATTTTATTTAAGTTTGTGAAAGAAACTCGGGATTAATTATTGTGTCTTTTCCTGAACGGTGTTAAGAATCATGGGAGTCCCTGTTGTGCCTTTTTTGAGGTTGTGAAAGATTCTCGGGGATTCTTAATGTATTTTTTACAGGTTGTGGAGGAATCTGGAAGCTCCTCCTTGTGTAATTTTTTTAAGGTTGTGTAAGAATTTCGGGGCTCTCTATTGTGTCTTTTTTAAGGTTGTGAAAGAATCATGGGCTTCCTATCATATCTTTTTTAAGGTTGTGAAAGAATCCAGGGTGCCCTGCTGCGTTTTTGTTTTAAGTTGTGAGAATCAAGTCTCCATGTTGTGACTTATTTTGAGGTTGTGAAAAATTCTCGGGGATTGTTAATGTCTTTTTTAAAAAAAGAATTTCGATGCTCTCTAGTGTGACTATTTTTGAAATTGTGAAAAAATCTCCGGGTTTTCTTTTGTGTAATATTTTTTTAAGGTTGTGAAAGAATCTTGAGCTTCCTGCTGTTTTTTTGTTTGAAGTTGTGAATGAATCTCGGGGCTCAAGGTTGTGCCTTATTTTAAGGTTGTGAAAATTCTCGATGTTTCATAGTGTGCCTTTTTTTGAAGTTGTGAAAGAGTCTCCGGGCTCCCTTTAGTGTAATTTTATTTAAGTTTGTGAAAGAATCTCGGAGTTAATTATTGTGTCTTTTCCTGAACGATGTTAAGAATCATGGGAGTCCCTGTTGTGCCGTTTTTGAGGTTGTGAAAGATTCTCGGGGACTCTTAATGTCGTTTTAAAGGTTGTGAAAAAATCTCCAGGGTTCTTTTGTGTCTTTTTTTTAAGGTTGTGAAAGAATATTGGCCCGTCCATCATATCTTTTTTTTTTAATGTTTTGAAAGAATCACGGAGCTCTCTCTTGTGCCTTTTTTTGCAGATTATGAAAGAATCTCTTGGCTCCCTATTGTGTCTTTTTTTAAGTTGTGAAAAGATCATAAGCTTAACTATTGACTGTCGTTTTTTAAGATTGTAAAACTCCTTAATGTGCTTTTTTTGAGATTGTGAAAAATCCTCGGGGATTCTTAATTAATTTTTTAAAGATTGTGAAAAAATCTGAAAGCTCCCTTTTGTGTCATTTTTTTAAGGTTGTGTAAGAATCTCGGGGCTCCCCATTGTGTCTTTTTTTAAAGTTGTGAGAGAATCTTGGGCCCTCAATTATGTCTTTTTTAAGGTTGTGAAAGAATTCCGGGGTTGCCTGCTGTATTTTTATTTTAAGTTGTGAATGAATTTCGGGGTTTCATGTTGTGCCTTATTTTGAGGTTGTGAAAGATTCTCAGGGACTGTGAAAATTTCGATGCTTCCTAGTGTGCCTTTTTTTTGAAATTGTGAAAGAATCTCCAGGCTCTCTTTTATGTAATTTTTTTAAGCTTGTGAAAGAATTTCGGGGTTAATTATTATATCTTTTTTAACGTTGTGAAAAAATCTTGAGGCTCCCTATTGTGTGTTTTTTGTAAGGTTGTGAAAGAATCATGGAGAACCCCATTGTGTTTTTTTTTTCAAGATATGAAAAAATCTCTGGGCTCCCTATTGTGCCTTTTTTGAAGTTGTGAAAGATTCTCGGGGACTCTTAATGTCTTTTTTAAATGTTGTGAAAGAATCTCGAGGTGGCTTTTTGTCTGATTGTTTTTTAAGGTTGTGTAGGAATCCCCGGGGCTCCCCACCCTGTGTTTTTTGTAAGGTTGTGAAAGAATCACCGAGTTTCCCATTGTGTCTTTTTTTCAGGTTATAAAGGAATTTCTGGGCTCTCTTTTATGTCATTTTTTAAGGTTGTGTAAGAATCATGGGGCATTATTGTGTCTTTTTTTAAAGGTTGTGAAAGAAACTAGGGACTACCTGTTGTGTCTTTTTTTAAAATTGTGAATGAACTTTGTGTCATTTTTTTTAAGATTGTGTTAGAATCTCAGGGCTCCCTATCGTGTTATTTTTTTGGGGTTATTAAAGAATCACGGAACTCTATTGTGTCTTTTTTTTCAGGTTATGCAAGAATCTCTGGGCTCCCTTTTGTGTCATGTTTTTAAGGTTGTGTAAGAATCACTGGGTTCCTTATTGTGTTTTTTTTTAAGCTTGTGAAAGAATCTCGGGGTTACTTATTATATCTTTTTTAACGTTGTGAAAAAATCTTGAGGCTCCCTATTGTGTGTTTTTTGTAAGGTTGTGAAAGAATCATGGAGAACCCCATTGTGTTTTTTTTTTCAAGATATGAAAAAATCTCTGGGCTCCCTATTGTGCCTTTTTTGAGGTTGTGAAAGATTCTCGGGGACTCTTAATGTCTTTTTTAAATGTTGTGAAAGAATCTCGAGGTGGCTTTTTGTGTGATTGTTTTTTTAAGGTTGTGTAGGAATCCCCGGGGCTCCCTACCCTGTGTTTTTTGTAAGGTTGTGAAAGAATCACCAAGTTTCCCATTGTGTCTTTTTTTCAGGTTATAAAGGAATTTCTGGGCTCTATTTTATGTCATTTTTTAAGGTTGTGTAAGAATCATGGGGCATTATTGTGTCTTTTTTTAAAGGTTGTGAAAGAAACTAGGGACTCCCTTTTGTGTCTTTTTTTAAAGTTGTGAATGAATTTTGTGTCATTTTTTTTAAGATTGTGTTAGAATCTCATTACTCCCTATCGTGTCTTTTTTTAAGGTTGTAAAAGAATCACGGGACTCTATTGTGTCTTTTTTTTCAGGTTATGCAAGAATCTCTGGGCTTCCTTTTGTGTCATGTTTTTAAGGTTGTATAAGAATCACGGGGTTCCTTATTGTGTTTTTTTTAAGATGTGATAGAATCTCGGGGCTCTTTATCGTGTCTTTTTTTAAGGTTTTGAAAGAATCACGGGGCTCTCTATCGTGTTTTTTTTCAGATTATATAAGAATCTCTGTCATATTTTTTTAGATTGTGTAACAACCTCGGACTGTGTCTTTTTTAAGGTTCTGAAAAAATCTCGAGACTCCCGGTTTGTGTCTTTTTTTAAGTTGTGAAAGAATCTCGGAGCTTCTGATTGCGTCTTTTATTTAAGTTTGTGAAAGAATCCTCCCTACTCTCTACTGGATTTTTGTTTTTAATTTGTGAAAGAATCTTGGGGCTCCCTATGGGGTTTATTTTTTAAGTTGTGAAAGAATATCGGGGCTCTCTGCTGTGTTTTTTTTTAACATTTCGGGGACTCCTAGGGCCTTTTTTTAAAAGAAAAACTGTCAGTGACTCCTACTTTTATTAAAAGCTATTATACGACTAGTACTGGAAATTTTCTTTATCCTGTTTTCCATCTTTTTTCTTTGATAATTCTTCCACTATTAAATATCTATCCTCTCATTGGCAACCAATTTAATAACACTGATTCAATCTCATCCAATTGTCTTCTCAAAACTACCTCCGGTTTTTACCCACGCTCGATTGACGTCACCGCTGCAGCAAAAAACAGAAACTAAGAAACTTATGATTATGATTCTTGAAATACGATTGATCGACTCACACGTGATACTTCAGTTCCATAATTCGAGCACGCTCATCCTCTTCGACGAAGAAGCCGCCCAGAAAGCGCAAATTTCCCCAAGCCCCGCTTAATTTTTTCTTTCGACCACACCTCCAGCACACTTCTCGTCCATAAATTTCGTAAATTTTTTTATAGAGCGTATTGCATGCGGTTGACAGTTCCAGCGTACATTAAATTCACAAATTGCTCAATGGCTTTTCAGAACGGAAATTATGTAACAAGAGCAAGTCTCATCTTAATACCGAGTCCGAAAAATGCTTTAGAAAAGAGTAATCGTTCTGTCGTAACACGCAATTTTTTAACGCTTTATGACAGAAATCGTATCGTTTACAAGCAATAAAGATACGCTAACTACTGTTTAATTTTACAGCTTAATTGCCTCTCATCGCTTGATAGCGATTTTTTGCAAATTTCATTACATATTCGAGGCATAATCTTCACCAAGGTTGCGAAATGGAGATTTTTCAAAGATTCCGACATTGTTGTGGAACGAAAATCGTGCTCGGAATAAAACAAACGCATTATTTTTTAATTCACAAGTTCGAGGCTTCTCCTGGAAAAAAACCGAATCCTGATTCCACTCTAACTAGTTCTAAAACAAAACAAAAATCCGCCAAAACAGGAAACTCAAACTAGTTGGATTTGCGTCTCGTCGTTTTGTTAGTGATTTTCCGATAATTGTTTTCACAAATTCGATTATCAGGTTTTTAATTGGTAAAAAGTGGTCGGATTTTTGGGTGCAGGAAACGACTGCCAAAAAAAGAAGTGTGAATTCGTGGCGAAAACTGAAAATTCGCCAAAATTAAGTGCTTTTAAATTTAGCTGCAACGAAACGGCCAAAACTAGTCAGTGATTAAAAAAGCACACATTCGAATGAGCATTTCGGCAAAGTTGCCCAATTAATTGTAATTACAATAACAACGTGTTAATCATCGTGTTAATATTTTGCGTCTGAGAATGTTTTCAATAGCTTCTAACACATTGAGCACATAAAAGACTTTGGGTAATTGTTATGAAAATGGCGTTTGCATAATAATTCGATCGAATATGTGTAATAACTATCATTACGATATGAATACGCGATTTAATACCAACGTGTTACACCTGGCAAATAAGATGGTACACACTACAAGTAATAACAAATAATTAGCGATAACCACATTCATATCTGACCTATTTTAATTAAAACCTACATCTCCGCAACCTTGGTAATATTAATTTATTGCAAAATGGATTGTTCAGATGCTCCAAACGCAACTACAAAAACAATTTTACTATTTGCTTTGCTTTATCTCCTCAAGATTCTTTTATTGTTTTCCGTGGTAAATCAATCACTGTCCACGCTTTCTGCAAATAAAGAGATTAATTTTTTTCATTTAACGCAGAATTATTGTTTTTATTATTATCGCTGAGCAAATTGCCTGGATATTTACCACCATGGAAGTGCTAATTTAATTGTTGCGAAGCCGATAATTGTATTAATGTAAAATGTAATGCAAAACATTAGGCTTATTGTTGGAATTTACTACTTTTATCTTACAGTTAAGAGCGATAAACGCCCACAAACAACCAAAATCAACATTCAATTCACACCGGTACGTTTCCAATTTTCGTGCATTTTTCGTGACGTGGTACTTATTATGCAAGTCACAATTAAATTAGTTATTTAAAAGAATAATTAAATAATAATTTAATTAATAACATTGGTGAGTTAGGCAACCCACTATACCCCAGTGTATATAAAGTTGCCACAACACCGCGATGTAATTAATCAAATTTGTTCAGTCAAAATCAAACACACCCTCTGATCGAACCATCACCCCTTAGCAACCATCACTCAGACAACCCCCAACGTCAAACCTCCATTTCGAGTTTAAATCTCCGGAAAAGCTCAGCATGGTAAGTGTGTCTTTTTTTCACCATCCACTTACCCCACGTGTTTTAGCCCCCCAAGAAAAAGGGTAAAGGTAAAGGGGGTGTCGGCAACATCATCGATGGCGTCGACACCACCTCCATGACCCGAGAGCAGCTCGAGGTTTTCTGCCACCGAATCAAGGAAGAGAATGAACGCGAAAGAGAAGAAAGGAACTTCTTCCAGTTGGAAAGGGACAAACTGCGCACTTTCTGGGAAATCACGAAGAACGAGCTGGAGGAGGCGAGGGCGAAATTGAGGTAGAACAAGTTTTGTGTGGAAAGATTTGTGCTTCACACACAAATTGCAGGAATAAAGATCGGCAGATTGAAGAAGCCGCCGAGAAGAATGAAGACGAGTTGAAGTTCTATAAGCAGAAAGTGAAGCATTTGCAGTACGAACACCAGAATAGTTTGACGGAATGTAAGGCGGAGGCGCTGGTGTCGCTGAAGATGGCGCAAGATGACCATACGGAGCAGGAGAGGGAGCTGTTGAAGGATAAGAGGGATTTGAAGGCGCAGATTAGGGAGCAGGAGATGACGCATCAGGACCAAACTAAGTCGCTGAAACTGGTACAATCTCTGGTTTTTTCTGATTCAATTTTTTTTCTCTGTTTGGAACAACCAAGTTCTATTTTGTTTTATTTATTGATGTTATCAGTATTTTATTTTAAACAGACTTTGGACTAATATGTTTTTAAGTGGAACCATATCTGGGGTTTCTACGGTTTTTGGTCTTTTTTTCAGAATGTGAAGGAATTTCAAAGTCAACTAAAAGCTTTTTTATTGTGAAAGAATGTCTTTGAGTGTTTTTATGGATGTAAAATATTTATCTCAGGACAAGTCAGGTCAGGTCAGAGCAAGTGAAGTCATGCCAGGTCAGGTTAGGCCAGTTCAAGTCATCTCAAGTGTCTCGGGGAACCCTACTGTCTGAATTTAAGTGAAATAATTCCCGACTTTGTGTTTTTTTCTTATGTTGTGAAAAAATCTCGGGGTTTCCTATTGTGTTGTTTTAATGGTTTTGTCTTTTTTTATGTATATATGACATTCTGAGGGCAATTTCTGTATTTTTTTAAGGTGTGAAACATTCTCTCTGGCACCCCTTCTGTCTTTTTGTAGATATGAAACAATTTCGGAGTCCGTTCCTGTCTTTTTTGTATAACCATGAAACATTATAAATATGAAACATACAAAACAATCTCGAAGGAAACTTCTGTATATTATTATATATTTTTCATAGATATGAAACTATCTTGGGGCTCCTTCCGATTTTTATGGATGTGAAACACTCTCGGAATCTCGAACCACTTCTGTCTTTTTGTAGATGTGAAACAATCTCGGGAGGCTTTTCTGTCGTTTCATAGATGTGAAATATTTTTGGGAATACCTTCTGTCTTTTTTTGATAGATGGGATATCGACAGCCCATTTTTTCTTCTATATGGATGTGAAACAATCTCGGGGGCCCCTTCTGTCTTTTTATGGATGTGAGACCCTTCGGGAGTCTTCTCGTCTTTTTATGGATGTGAAACATTCTTGGGGCACCTTCTTTTCTTTGTTGATGTGAAACGCTGTTCCGAAGCCCATTCTGACTTTGTATGGATGTTAAATATTCTCGGGGCACCTTATGTCTTTTTTGTAAATGTGAAACAATCTCGTTAACCACTTCTATATTTTTATAAATGTGAAACAATCTCGTTAACCACTTCTATCTTTTTATAAATGTGAAACAATCTCGGTGGGGATTCAGTCTTTTTTTGTCGATCTGGGACTATCTCGGGGGCACATTCGATATATTTTTCATAGATGTGAAACTACCTTGGGGCTAGTTCCGGTTTTTTATGGATGTGAAACACTCTCGGGATCTCGAAGCACTTCTGTTTTTCTATTGATGTGAAATAATCTCAGGAGCCCATTTTCTCTTCTTTATGGATGTGCAACATTCTTAGGAGTACCTTCTGTCAAGATAAGACTGATTTTGGCAGACAACCCATTCTTCTAAGAAAATCAAGGGTGGGTAGGCGGGGCTAGTACTTGTCAAGATAAGACTGATTTTGGCCAATGACATATCCTCTAAGAAAATAAGGAGGGTGGGCGGGGCTAGTACTTGCTAAAACTATAAAAAATATAAAAATCAAAAAATGACAAATTGAAAAATTGGATAAATGAGAAATCGGAAAATTGTACAACTGTTTAATCGGAAAATTAAAGACTGAAATATCGAAAAATCGAAAAATCGAAAAAAAAACAAATATAAAATAGAATTGGAAATTCCAGTTTTAATTTTTTTTAGTTTTTAGATTTTTCAACTTTTGAATATTTCATTTGATAATTTGTTTGACAATTTAGCAGTTTTTAATTCCAATCTTTTGATTTTTCAAGTTTTCAAGAACAAATTTATTCAAACCGAAATTTTGAAATATCGAAAAATCCTAAAATTGAAAATTAGAAACAAAATTTTCAGATGTTTTTAAGTTAGGGTAAACATGGCAATCGCTGATCAAAATTACTTTTTATTCGCTTCCAAAAACTCGGTGACAAAAAATAAAAAATCAAAAATTATAAAAAAATAAACGTCTATTTTCCCGATCTTTTTAAAAAGCAAATAATTGAGAAATCAAAAAACTGCCAAAATAGTAAAATTAAAAAATCGAAAGTTTTTTTCACATTCCCAGGGAAATCAAAAATCGAAAGACAAATCAAAAAGTTGAAAATTTAAAAAGCGAGAAGTTGAAAAATTCGAAAGTTGAAAAATCGAAAAACTGAAAAATTTAGTAGTACTCGCTACGATAAGACTGATTTTGGCAAATAATCTACTCTCTAACAAAACAAAAGGCGGGTGGGTGGGGCTAGCACTTGCCAAATAACCTACCCTCCAAGAAAATAAAAAGCGGGGGGGCTGGGGTAGTATTTGCCAAAATAAGACTCATTTTGGCCAATGTCCTACTCTTCTAAGAAAATAAAGAATAGATCATCTGCCAAAATCAGTCTTATCTTGACAAGTACTAGCCCCGCCCACCCACCCTTTATTTTCTTAAAAGAATAGGTCATCTGCCAAAATCAATCATATCTTGGCAAGTATACGACTGATTTTTGCAAATGACATATCTCCTTAGAAAATACGGGTGGGTGGGCGGGGCTAGTACTTGTCAAGTTAAGACTGATTTTGGCAGATGACCCATTCTTCTAAGAAAATAAAGGGTGGGTGGGCGGGGCTAGTAGTTGTCAAGATAAGACTGATTTTGGCAAATAACATATGCTTCAAGAAAATAAGGGAAGGTGGGCGGAGCTAGTTCTTGCTAAAAATAAAAAAACTCAAAAATCAAAAAGTGACAAATTGAAAAATTGGATAAATGAGAAATGGGAAAATTGTACAACTGTTTAATCGGAAAATCAAAAACTGAAATATCGAAAAATTGAAAAAAAAACAAGTCTCAAAATCGAATTCGAAATTCCAGTTTTCATTTTTTTTAGTTTTTAGATTTTTCAACTTTTGAATATTTCATTTGATAAATTGTTTGACAATTTAGCATTTTTAATTCCAATCTTTTGATTTTTCAAGTTTTGATTTTACAATTTTGACATTTTTTCATTTTTAATTTTTCAAGTTTTCAAGAACAAATTTATTCAAACCGAAATTTTGAAAAATCGAAAAATCCTAAAATTGAAAATTAGAAACAAAATTTTCAGATGTTTTTAAGTTACAGTAAACATGGCAATCGCTGATCAAAATTACTATTTACTCGCTTCCAAAAACTCGGTGACAAAAAATAAAAAATCAAACATTAAAAAAAAATAAACGTCTATTTTCCCAATCTTTTTAAAAATCAAATAATTGACAAATCAAAAAACTGCCAAAATAGTAAAATTAAAAAATCGAAAGTTTTTTTCACATTCCCAGGGAAATCAAAAATCGAAAGACAAATCAAAAAGTTGAAAATTTAAAAAGCGAGAAGTTGAAATATTCGAAAGTTGAAAAATCGAAAAACCGAAAAATTTAGTAGTACTCGCTACGATAAGACTGATTTTGGCAAATGATCTACTCTCTAACGAAACAAAAGGCGGGTGGGTGGGGCTAGCACTTGTCAAATAATCTACCCTCCAAGAAAATAAAAAGCGGGGGGGCTGGGGTAGTATTTGTCAAAATAAGACTCATTGTGGTCAATGACCTACTCTTCTAAGAAAATAAAGAATAGATCATCTGCCAAAATCAGTCTTATCTTGAGAAGTGCCAGCCCCGCCCACCCACCCTTTATTTTCTTAGAAGAATAGGTCATCTGCCAAAATCAATCATATCTTGGCAAGTATACGACTGATTTTTGCAAATGACATATCTCCTAAGAAAATACGGGTGGGTGGGCGGGGCTAGTACTTGTCAAGTTAAGACTGATTTTGGCAAATAACCCATTCTTCAAAGAAAATAAAGGGTGGGTGGGCGGGGCTAGTACTTGTCAAGATAAAACTGATTTTGGCAAATGACATATCCTCTAAGAAAATAAGGAGGGTGGGCGGGGCTAGTACTTGCTAAAAATTAAAAAACTCAAAAATCAAAAAATGATAAATTGATAAATTGGATAAATGAGAAATCGGAAAATTATACAACTGTTTCATCGGAAAATCAAAAACTGATATATCGAAAAATTGAAAAAAAAACAAATCTCATAAAATCGAATTCGAAATTCCAGTTTTCATTTTTTTTTTAGTTTTTAGATTTTTTAACTTTTGAATATTTCATTTGATAAATTGTTTGACAATTTAGCATTTTTAATTCCAATCTTTTGATTTTTCAAGTTTTGATTTTACAATTTTGACATTTTTTGATTTTTAATTTTTCAAGTTCTGAAGTTAAAACTTTCCCTTTTCACAATTTGTCATTTTTCGGTTTTTTAACTAAAAGAACAAATTTATTCGAACCGAAATTTTGAAAAATCGAAAAATCCAAAAATTGAATATTAGAAACAAAATTTTCAGATGTTTTTAAGTTACGGTAAACATGGCAATCGCTGATCAAAATTACTTTTTACTCGCTTCCAAAACTCGGTGACAAAAAATAAAAAAACAAAAATTAAAAAAAAAATAAACGTCTATTTTGCCGTTCGTTTTAAAAATCAAATAATTGAGAAATCAAAAAACTGCCAAAATAGTAAAATTAAAAAATCGAAAGTTTTTTCACTTTCCGAGGGAAATCAAAAATCGAAAGACAAATCAAAAAGTTGAAAATTTAAAAACCGAGAAGCTGAAAATTTCGAAAGTTGAAAAATCGAAAAACTGAAAAATTTAGTAGTCCTCGCTACGATAAGACTGATTTTGGCAAATGAACTACTCTCTAACAAAACAAAAGGCGGGTGGGTGGGGCTAGAAACTCATTTTGGCCAATGACCTACTCTTCTCAGAAAATAAAGAATAGATCATCTGCTAAAATCAGTCTTATCTTGACAAGTACTAGCCCCGCCCACCCACCCTTTATTTTCTTAGAAGAATAGATCATCTGCCAAAATCAATTATATCTTGGCAAGTATACGACTGATTTTTGCAAATGACATATCTCCTTAGAAAATACGGGTGGGTGGGCGGGGCTAGTACTTGTCAAGTTAAGACTGATTTTGGCAGATGACCCATTCTTCTAAGAAAATAAAGGGTGGGTGCGCGTTACTAGTGGTTGTCAAGATAAAACTGATTTTGGCAAATAACATATCCTTCAAGAAAATAAGGGAAGGTGGGCGGAGCTAGTTCTTGCTAAAAATAAAAAAACTCAAAAATCAAAAAGTGACAAATTGAAAAATTGTATAAATGAGAATTGGGAAAATTGTACAACTGTTTAATCGGAAAATCAAAAACTGAAATATCGAAAAATTGAAAAAAAAAACAAGTCTCATAAAATCGAATTCGAAATTCCAGTTTTCATTTTTTTTAGTTTTTAGATTTTTTAACTTTTGAATATTTCATTTGATAAATTGTTTGGCAATTTAGCATTTTTAATTCCAATCTTTTGATTTTTCAAGTTTTGATTTTACAATTTTGACATTTTTTGATTTTTAATTTTTCAAATTCTCAAGTTAAAACTTTTCCTTTTCACAGTTTGTCATTTTCCGGTTTTTTAACTAAAAGAACAAATTTATTCGAACCGAAATTTTGAAAAATCTAAAAATTCAAAAATTGAAAATTAGAAACAAAATTTTCAGATGTTTTAAATTTGCGGTAAACATGGCAATCGCTGGTCAAAATTACTTTTTACTTGCTTCCAAAAACTCGGTCACAAAAAATAAAAAATCAAAAATTTAAAGAAATAAACATCTATTTTCTCGATATTTTTAAAAATCAAATAATTGAGAAATCGAAAAACTGCAAAAATTGTAAAATTAAAAAATCGAAAGTTTTTTTCACATTCCCAGGGAAATTAAAAATCGAAAGACAAATCAAAAAGTTGAAAATTTAAAAAGCGAGAAGTTGAAAAATTCGAAAGTTGAAAAATCGAAAAACTGAAAAATTTAGTAGTACTCGCTACGATAAGACTGATTTTGGCAAATGATCTACTCTCTAACGAAACAAAAGGCGGGTGGGTGGGGCTAGCACTTGCCAAATAATCTACCCTCCAAGAAAATAAAAAGCGGGGGGCTGGGGTAGTATTTGCCAAAATAAGACTCATTTTGGCCAATGATCTACTCTTCTAAGAAAATAAAAAATAGATCATCTGCTAAAATCAGTCTTATCTTGACAAGTACTAGCCCCGCCCACCCACCCTTTATTTTCTTAGAAGAGTAAGTCATCTGCCAAAATCAATCATATCTTGGCAAGTATACGACTGATTTTTGCAAATGACATATCTCCTAAAAAAATACGGGTGGGTGGGCGGGGCTAGTACTTCTCCAGATAAGACTGATTTTGGCAAATGACATATCCTTCAAGAAAATAAGGGAAGGTGGGCGGGGCTACTACTTGCTAAAAATAAAAAAACTCAAAAATCAAAAAGTGACAAATTGAAAAATTGGATAAATGAGAAATGGGAAAATTGTACAACTGTTTAATCGGAAAATCAAAAACTGAAATATCGAAAAATTGAAAAAAAAAACAAGTCTCATAAAATCGAATTCGAAATTCCAGTTTTCATTTTTTTTAGTTTTTAGATTTTTCAACTTTTGAATATTTCATTTGATAAATGGTTTGACAATTTAGTAATTTTAATTCAAATCTTTTGATTTTTCAAGTTTTAATTTTACAATTTTGACATTTTTTCATTTTTAATTTTTCAAGTTTTCAAGAACAAATTTATTCAAACCGAAATTTTGAAAAATCGAAAAATCCTAAAGTTGAAAATTAGAAACAAAATTTTCAGATGTTTTTAAGTACAGTAAACTTGGCAATCGCTGATCAAAATTACTTTTTACTCGCTTCCAAAAACTCGGTGACAAAAAATAAAAAATCAAAAATAAAAAAAAAATAAACGTCTATTTTCCCGATCTTTTTAAAAATCAAATAATTGAGAAATCAAAAAACTGCCAAAATAGTAAAATTAAAAAATCGAAAGTTTTTTTCACATTCCCAGGGAAATCAAAAATCGAAAGACAAATCAAAAAGTTGAAAATTTAAAAAGCGAGAATTTGAAAAATTCGAAAGTTGAAAAATCCAAAAACTGAAAAATTTAGTAGTACTCGCTACGATAAGACTGATTTTGGCAAATGATCTACTCTCTAACAAAACAAAAGGCGGGTGCGTGGGGCTAGCACTTGCCAAATAACCTACCCTCCAAGAAAATAAAAAGCGGGGGGGCTGGGGTAGTATTTGCCAAAATAAGACTCATTTTGGCCAATGTCCTACTCTTCTAAGAAAATAAAGAATAGATCATCTGCCAAAATCAGTCTTATCTTGACAAGTTCTAGCCCCGCCCACCCACCCTTTATTTTCTTAGAAGAATAGGTCATCTACCAAAATCAATCATATCTTGGCAAGTATACGACTGATTTTTGCAAATGACATATTTCCTAAGAAAATACGGGTGGGTGGGCGGGGCTAGTACTTGTCAAGTTGAAGACTGATTTTGGCAGATAACCCATTCTTCTAAGGAAATCAAGGGTGGGTGGGCGGGGCTAGTGCTTGTCAAGATAAGACTGATTTTGGCAAATTACATATCTTTCAAGAAAATAAGGGAAGGTGGGCGGGGTTAGTACTTGCTAAAAATAAAAAATCTCAGAAATCAAAAAATGACAAATTGAAAAATTGGATAAATGAGAAATCGGAAAATTATACAACTGTTTCATCGGAGAATCAAAAACTGAAATATCGAAAAATTGAAAAAAAAAACAAATCTCATAAAATCGAATTCGAAATTCCAGTTTTCATTTTTGTTAGTTTTTAGATTTTTTAATTTTTGAATATTTCATTTGATAAATTGTTTGACAATTTAGCATTTTTAATTCCAATCTTTTGATTTTTCAAGTTTTGATTTTACAATTTTGACATTTTTTCAATACTCGTCATTTCTTCTTTATGGATGTGAAACACTCTAGGAATCCTAAGCTCCTTCTGATTTTTTTTTATTTTAAAGTGTTGTCTGCTCCAGAAATCGTTTTTTCGTCAACTAAGTTCCGAATATTTTCTTTCACGGACTTATTTTGCAGCAACACAGCGAAGAAATCAGCAACATTCGCACCCAGTTCGAGCAAAAAGAGAAAGAGCTCGAACTCAAATACGAAAAAAAGTTCGCCGATTTGAAACAAGAGCTCAACACGAAACACACGTAAGTAACTGAGTTGTTAATTTCGACAATACAGGCCCGTCTTCAGCATGGAAATGTCCGAACTCGAGGAGCGCAAGAACGACCAAATCACCGACCTCACCAAACACCACGAGAAAGTCTTCAACGAAATGAAAAACTATTACAACGACATCACTTTGAATAATTTGGCACTAATAAGCAGTTTGAAAGTAAAAGCCGTCATTATCTCAGCATTACATTAAAACTGTGACGTTAATTATAGGATCAGATGGAGGTACTTCGGAAGCAGAACGAGCGGATGAGCAAGCAGGTGTCGGACATCACGGCGGAGAACAAGAAGCTGAAGGAGCCGCTGCACCAGGCCTTGCAAGACGTCACCGAGTACAAGAGGCAACTAGAGCATTACGAGAAGGATAAATTAGCATTGGCGGTAATGGATTCAAAAATTAGAAAGGAGTTTTAAGGTTCGTTAATTCCAGAATACGAAAGCCAAGTTGGGGGCCACGAAGCAGGAACTGGACGATTTGAAGTGGGCGAATGACGCTCTGCAGCTACGGTTCGAAAAAGTACGTAATTTCTGAACTGAGTTTTCGAGGACGAAACGTTTTTGTGTTCGTAGTTGGAAGCGGAGAAGGATGAGTTGAGCTCGCGGTTCGTCGACGCGGTTCTCGAGGTTCAACAAAAAACGGGGCAGAAGAATATTCTTTTGCAGAAACGGCTGCAGACTTTGACGAAAGTTGCGGAGTTCAGGGATGTTATCATTGGGGAGATGAGGCTGATGACGGGGATTGAGACCGACGCTACCACTAATACCAATCTCGAGGTATGGGGAGAAATTTCGGCTTTATTTTTTGTATTTATTGGGGAATAGAAACTTTTAGCGAAGAAAAATGGGATTATTCATGATCTGCAGTACGAGCTGGCTCGAGTGTGTAAAGCACACGATGACCTTTTGGATACTTATGAGGATAAGCTGCAGCAGTACGGGATTCCGAAGTCGGAGTTAGGGTTTGTCCCGCTGAGGATCCTGCAGGATGGGCAAGGAGGGCTGGCTAAAAGTCCGGCGGGACTTGTAACGAAAAATCGATGAATAAAGATTTCACAAAAAAATTGTCGAACGTTATTTTTAAAACTTTCAGAATTGCGATTTTTGTTTTCTGATAAGCTCTATAAAGTTAAAACCATTCGATTCTTTAATTCTCGTCAGTCTTTTGATTTGCAATTTTTCGAGTTTTCAAGATCTTAAGTTCAAATTTTTTAGTTTTTCACTTTTCCAAATTTTGAATTTTACTGGAATTTTAATTTTTCATTTATTTGATTTTTCCTTTATTCGATTTTAAATTTCAATTTCTTGATCTTGCAAAAATTTAACAGAAAAATCAAAAATCGAAAATTGAGCTAACAAAATTTAAAAATTACATATCGAAAAAAATTCCCGATAATTAATTTTCAATTTCTCGATCTTGCAATGTTACAGTTTTTCGACTTTACAATTTTGACCATTCTATAGTTTTTCGATTTCACAATTTTGGATATTCTAATGTTTCGATTGGATTCATTTTTTCTACTTTCCAATTTTTCGTGTTTTAAGTTTACCGATTTTTAGATTTTCAAAGTTTCAGTTTTTCCTTTCTTCAGTCATACGATTTGCAATTTTTCAGTTTTCCACTTTCTCGATTTGCAACTTCTCATTTTTCAAATTTTTCAATTTTTTCCGATTTTTTTCGATTTTTAATTTATCGATTTTTCAATGTTTCACCTTTTCGAATCAAAAAATTGCAAAAACAGGATACCTAAAAACACAAAAAATTATCAAAAAATGGGAAGTCGAAAAATCGTGAAATTAAAAAATCAAAAAAAACAGGAAAAATCAAAAATCGAAAATTGAGCTAATATATGTAAAATTTAAAAAAATTACATATCGAAAAAAATTCTTGATATTTAATTTTCAATTTCTCGATCTTGTAATATTACAGTTTTTCGACTTTACAATTCTGACAATTCTACAGTTTTTCGATTTCACAATTTTTGTATTTCCTAATGTTTCGATTGGATTCATTTTTTTTTCTTTTCAATTTTTAGATTCGTTCATTTTTTTGTATTTTTTAATTTCCCGATTTTTAGTTTTTCAGTGTTCCAGTTTTTCGTTTCTTCAATTCCTCGATTTGCAATTTTTCTATTTTCCACTTTTTCGATTGTGCAATTTCTCATTTTTCAAATTTTTCATTTTTTTCCGATTTTTTTCGATTTTTAATTTTTCGATTTTTCAATTTTTCACCTTTTCGAATCAAAAAATTGCAAAAACAGGAAACCTAAAAATAAAAAAAATAATCAAAAAATGGGAAGTCGAAAAATCGTGAAATTAAAAAATCAAAAAAAAACAGGAAAAATCAAAAATCGAAAATAGAGAAAATAGAAATATGTAAAATTTAAAAAAATTACATATCGAAAAAAATTCTTGATATTTAATTTTCAATGTCTCGATCTTGTAATATTACAGTTTTTCGACTTTACAATTCTGACAATTCTACAGTTTTTCGATTTCACAATTTTTGTATTTCCTAATGTTTCGATTGGATTCATTTTTTCTACTTTCCAATTTTTCGTGTTATAAGTTTACCGATTTTTAGTTTTTCAAAGTTTCAGTTTTTCCTTTCTTCAGTCATACGATTTGCAATTTTTCAGTTTTCCACTTTCTCGATTTGCAACTTCTCATTTTTCAAATTTTTCAATTTTTTCCGATTTTTTTCGATTTTTAATTTATCGATTTTTCAATTTTTCACCTTTTCGAATCAAAAAATTGCAAAAACAGGAAACCTAAAAACAAAAAAATTATCAAAAAATGGGAAGTCGAAAAATCGTGAAATTAAAAAATTAAAAAAACAGAAAAAATAAAAAATCGAAAATTGAGCTAATATATGTAAAATTTAAAAATTACATATCGAAAAAAATTCTCGATATTTAATTTTCAATTTCTGGATCTTGCAATATTACAGTTTTTCGACTTTACAATTTTGACGATTCTATGTTTTCAATTTCACAATTTTTGGATTTCCTAATTTTCGATTTAATTCATTTTTCCTTCTTTCCAATTTTTAGATTCATTAATTATTTTGTATTTTTTAATTTCCCGATTTTTAGTTTTTCGGTGTTCCAGTTTTTCGTTCCTTCAATTCTTGGGTTTGCAATTTTTATATTTTCCACTCTTTCGATTCTATAATTTCTCATTTTTCAAATTTTTCAATTTTTCCGATTTTTGTTTGATTTTCGGTTTTTCAATTTTTCAACTTTTCGAATAAAAAAATTGCAAAAACAGGAAACCTAAAATGGGAAGTTGAAAAATCGTGAAATAAAAAACCAAAAAAATTAGAAAAATTAAAAAAGTGTAACCGAAAAATTGAAATCGAAAATCGAGCAAATGTAGAATAGGAAAATTGCAAATCGAAAAAAATTCTCGATATTTAATTTTCAATTCCTCGATCTTGCAATGTTACAGTTTCACATTTTTGGATTTTCTAATTTTTCGATTTGATTTATTTTTCCTTCATTCCAATTTTTCGATTGTATTTGATTTTTAAATTTCTAGCTTTTTAGTTTTTCAATGATTCAGTTTTTAGTTTCTTCAGTTCTTCGATTTTGCATTTTTCGGTTTTCTACTTTTTCAGTTATTTCTGATATTTTTCAATTTTCAATTTTTCGATTTTTCAATGTTTCAACTTTTCGAATCAAAAAAATGGAAAAATTGCAAAAATGGGAAACCTGAAAACTAAAATATCACAAAGTTGAAAGTTGAAAAATCGTGAAATTATAAAAATCAAAAAATTTGAAAAAATTTAAAAAATCAAAAGTTATCGAAATAGCAAAAATGGGACAATCAAAAAAATTGTACAATTGAAAACTCGAAACACTGACCAAAAATTAAAAAATCGAAAAATTGGAAGATCGAAAAACCCGTAATATTGAACCACAAAAAAAAAAGAAATTAATAGTGAAACTGAAAAATTAAAAATGGAAAAATTGTAAAATTAGAAAATCCAAAAAGGAAAAATTGAAAAATAGGATCAATAAGAAATCCAAAAATTGCAAAATGGTAAAATTGAAAAACCGAAAAATTCAAAAACCTAAAAAACACTCCTAATCTTGACAGTAATTACATACAATTTCCAAAAAAAATTTAATGCCATTCATTAATTTTTTTCAATTTTCAAGTTTCTCGTTTTTGGGTTTTCACTGTTTCAAATTTTCGCTTCTTCAGTTCTTCGATTTACAATTACAATTCCTCGTTTTTTTTTACAATTTTTTCGGATTTTTAAGTTTTTCAATTTTTCAAATTTTCGAATCGGAAAAACGTTGAAAAATCTAAAAATCGGAAAGCAAGAGCATAGTTTAAAAAGTTATCAAATCGAAAAAAACATTAAAAAATAAAAGAACTGAAACATAAAAATCAACAACTGGAAAAATTGAGGAAAGAAAAATTGAAAAATCGAAAAATGAAACACAAAATTGAATAATTTGGAACTCTAAAAATTGAAAGAACCAAAAAATTAAAGTTGAAAAACAAAAATTTTAAAACCTAAACAGAAAAAATGAAAAACACACAAAAGAAAAAAATTAAAAATTGTGGTATCAAAAAATTTGTTGAAGATAAATAAATCCACATTTTTCGAAAAAATATTTTGTTAATTCTATTTTTTGATAAAAAAATCGAAAAATGAAAAAATTGTGACATCAAAAAATTGCAAAATTGAAAAACTTCAAATAGAAAAAGAGTTTGGGAGTCGAAAAATTTAAATTATGAAATCGAAAAATTGTAAAGCTAAAAAACGAAAAATTGAAGAATTTTTGAGTCGAGAAATTGATCAATTGAAAAAAATAAAGTCAAAAACCGGAAAAATTATAAAGCCGAAATTAAAAATAGAATACTGAAAACACAATGGAAATGAAAAAACGAAAAATTGTGATATCAAAAAAAAAATGCTCAATAGTAAATAAATCCAAGCTTTTTGAAAAATCACAATATAAGATTTGATTTTGCTAATTTTTTTTTCATATATGTATGTAATATCGCAAAATTGCAAAATTGAAAAATTGAAAAACCGAAAAGTTCAAAAGATGGGAAAATGTGAATTCGAAATATCCCAAAATCCAAAAATTAGGAAATCAGTTAAGCTTACAGTTTCCAAGAAAAATTTAACACGATTAAGTTTTTTGATTTTCCAGTCTTTCAATTTTGGAATTTCTCGTTTTTGGATTTTTCGATTTTTTTCGGATTTTTCAGTTTTTCGGTTTTTTAACTCTTCGAATCGAAAAAATGGAAAAATTGCAAAATCGTAAAATTTAAAAATCACAAAATTAAAAATTCTAATATGGAAAAATTGCAAAAGTGAAAAAAAATTAAAATTGTGATATCAAAAAATTGGTAGACGGTAAATAAATCCAGATTTTTCGAAAAATGATAAGGGTTGGTTCTGCGAATTTTATTTTTTATGACAAAAAAATCGAAAATTTAAAAACTGCAACAATAAAAAATTGCAAAATTGAAGAAACAAAAAACTGAAAAATTTGGAAGTCGGGAAATCTCAAAATTGAAGAATTTAAAGTTGAATAAACGAAAAATTATTAATCCGAAACAGAAAAATCGAATATTGAAAAAATAAAAAAAAATAAAAAATAAAAAATTGTGATATCAAAAAATTGGTCCAAGGTAAATAAATCCAGATTTTTCAAAAAATGATAGCAGTTGATTTTGCGAATTTTATTTTTTATGACAAAAAAATCGAAAAATCAACAACTGTGACATCGAAAAATTGCAAAATTGAACACTCTAAGAAACGCAAAATTCAAGAAATGAAAAATTGAGAAATTTGGAAATCGAGAAATTGAAAAATTCAAACAATTAAAGTTGGAAAAACGAAAAATTATTATGAAACCGAAACACGGAAAAATGTAAAAATTAAAAAATGGAATAAAATGGAAAAACGAAAAATTGTCATATCAAAAAATTAGTCCAATATCAAATCCAGATTTTTCAAAAAGGATAAGGGTTGATTTTGAGAATTTTATTTTTGTCAAAAAAAAATGGAAAAATTAAAAGATTCAACATCGAAAAATTGAAGAATATTGAAAAAATACAAAAAACGAATAAAACAAAAATTGTCACAACAAAAAATTGGTCAAAGGTAAGTAAATCCAAATTTTTCGAAAAAGCATAATATTTGATTTTGCGCATTTTATTTTTTATGAATTTGAATCACTCTGTATAAATAATTTTTTAACTTTAAAATGATTACATTACAAAATTTCAAAGCGTTCGAGTTTTACAGTTTCAAACTTAAAAAATGACAAAATGTTTCACAATTTTGATTTTTTTCCCAAAAATCTAGATGTCTAGAGTAAAAACTAAACACGGACTCATTAACCACTGTCTTAAACAGTAAGTCTGTAAAAAACTGTCTTATTTTATCAAACTGAAAACATTTGGACAGACGGCAGACAGACAGACAGACAGACAGACAGACAGACGGAAACCCAGGACCTATTTTCTCGTACGGGTCATGAAACGTCGAGAAAATATAAAAATAGCCAGTCGTCTAATGGACTCGATTACAATACTTTCTTAGCTTACGCTCAGGAAGTAAAAATCAATTTTTTTATTAGATGTTATTGTTGAGTTTGGCAATAAATTGTGTCTGAAATTAGTTCCGACTTTGATACTAAATACAAATAAACAATTTTTTCGTTCTATTTTTCATTGTCCTACCAAAACCCATCGAAAGTGCTTATTAATTTACGCTCCTCCCAGGAGAAATTGTCTCGTGTCATTTTTTGACGAAAGTACCAGATCTGTGGATGTGATTGTATATAAAAAAAAAAAATCTAATTGGTTCAAGAAACGGAAAGTAGACCGTATTTTGTTAATAAGATTCCTCTCATCGCACACATACATAGAGAAAGACGAAAGACTTTCTACAGTCCATTCCATGGTGGTGGAGCGAAGTATAAAACCATCCCATTTCCAGTTTAAGCTAACAGTTCACTTTCAACTGTGTTTCGTATTGTTCTCAAGCCGTGTGCAACAATGTATTCGGTGAGTACAAAAAATTCGGCTGTGTGAAGCGGCCTTAGTCCAGATGTGTCAAAAATGACAATCAAATGTCATTACCATGACCTTGCATCACGACTAAAAAAATCCAGCACGAATTTGAAATTACTTTAAGGTCATAACATATTTTGAAACTCTATTATTATAATAATTATTATTATTAATAAAAAACTGTTTATTATTTAGATGTTTGTGATCGCTACAACCCTGGCCCTCGCCACATCCACACTAGCTGGCAGTAAGTAGACTAAAAAAAAAACCTCAAAGTGAGGTTAGAACACAACCATGTTCACAACACACAAATCCTTTCACCAAATCACCAATTAACACTCACGAGCGAAAGTTCAAGTTCACTTTCCGTGAAAGTAAAATCGTTTTTTTTTTCAGTATATAGCGACGGCGGTGGATACGGCGGCGGCGGCGGCGGCGGCGACATCGGCCACGACTTGGGCGGGTTCGGCGGTGGTGGCTACGGCGGCGGCTACGGAGGCGGCCTCGGAGGCTCCATCGGCGGCGGCCACGCCGAGATAAGTCTAGGGGGAGGGGGTGGGGGCGGCCACGGCGAGATTATTAGTCTCGGGGGCGGAGGGGGAGGTGGCGGCGGTGGAAGCTACAGCGGCCCCAGCAGCTACGAAGTGGGGGGTGACCACGGGGGCTCGTCTGGAGGCGGCAACGGTGGCGACTACCACCACGGAGTGAGCATCGTAGGGACGGGAGGAGATGGCCATAGCGCCAGTTTTGATCTGACCAATCACGGTAAACATCAAAACTTCGTTATTTAGAGTGACCTTATTTATTTTTTGTTTTTGGTATATAGCGGGCGGCGGCCACACGGGAACCTTCGGCGGCACCTTCGTCGCTTCGGCTAAGTACGAAGGGCACAGCGGCGTCGCTCATAAAGTAGCCGACGGGGATTCCTACGGCGGCGGCGGAGGTGGCGGCGCTGGCTTGATCACGTTCGGAAGCCCCCACTACTCTGATATTCTCAGTGCCAGCGACGGGGGCAGTTCGCTGGGTGGGGGCGGCGGCGGCGGCGGCTACAAGTGGGGCTTCGTGGCGCCCGGGGAGTACCAGTGATCAGCATAATTGAGTATCTTTGTTACATTTGTTGTTGTTTCGTTGACTGTTATCTATTTATTAAGTTGTAATAAATCTTTCCTACTTTTCTATAAAATTGGGTTTGATTTTCCACTAATTACGGGGGAATATTTATAGATCGTGGTCTAGATACTTGTTGGACGAGTGGTTAATTATTAAATTGAGGAAGTTACAGGATGAATTTATTATTTATGGGTGGGAAAACCAAGATCTGGAACAATGAACTTTCCACTTTAAATGGTATAAATACGTTATTGATTGTTCCACTTTACAATCTTTATCAGTTTTATCTCCAAATTATTTTAATTCAGTCAAGTGGAAAAGGTGACGGTCAGACGTATTTTTGATTAGAAACATGAAATTTTTTCGTCGTGTGTTTATTATTTTTTATTGTAGGTCAGTAAATATTCTTCGAACAAAACATGACAGGTTGTTAAAAATGTATGTGAAATAAAAAATATCGATCGAATACGTTGTTAGATTGATGATGAGTTTCCAGAACAATTCAATTTGTCGTAGTTTTCCGTAACACTTTACTTGTTTAGTAATCCGAAAATGACCCAAAAAATGTATTTTTTTTAATTCTAGAGATAGAACATTCATCACAAGTGAGAAGGGGTGGGTGGGCGGGGCTTATATTTTGTCCATTTTTTTTCTTAGTATACGAAGTTTTCTTTTCCCAACAAGAAACTGACAACATGTTTGACTGTTTTAAAAAATTACAACTTTTTTAAGATTACCGCAAGCATGGTGAATCCTTAATCAAAATATTTTCGGTTATGTCCTCCTAAAAAATGATGACGTCATTTTATAGTTTTGTATAACTAATGTTTCTTAAATTTTATAGAACTACATACTCCATAAATGTGTAATTTAGAATCCGTGTTGAGCGTTCACCATTGGCATCCAGATTTTTGCAAAAAAAATCAACATTGTATATCCATTTTTTACAATTTAACTTTGAAATAACAAAAACCGAATGCTGTAAAATCGAGCAAATATTTTAAGATTCTTTGAAACAAGGTAAACCGTTAGTCAACATTTATCCGTCATCTTACATTTTTGCCGAATTTCTTCAAATTTATGAATGTCTTTGGGAAAAACAAATATGAATTAATCAATCAGTCCTCTTCTTTGCGTTGAGGGCACAAAATCAACCAAATTTCATTTTCTTTTACTAGCAAGATTTTTTTTTTACTATTTTTCCCAGACTCATCAGTTAAGAGCGTAGCGGAGAGTTAATCCGCCATTTTACAGACACCCGATATAGAGTTTTCTTTCAACAACAGGAAAGTTAAACATGTTTTCAGTTTCTTGTTGGGAAAAGAAGACTTCGTATATTAAGAAAAAATGGACAAAATATAAGCCCCGCCCACCCACCCTTTCTCAATTGTGATGAATGCTTTATTCATAGTGAGCTGAAGGGCGGGGTTTAGCTGCAAAATCCTCATTTCTCTACAAGAAATTATCATATGAAATATGTGATTAGAAGGGTAGAATTTTTTAGAGAAATATTGATGTTATAATTAAACTCCGCCCCTCGTCTGATTACGAATGAAAAACTCGTCACAATTGAGATCGGGGCGGGTGGGTGGGGCTTAATTTATGTTTTTTTTTTTTAATATATAGAGTTTTCCTTCAACAACAGGAAAGTTAAACATGTTTTCAGTTTCTTGTTGGAAAAGAAGACTTCGTATATTAAGAAAAACTGGACAAAATATAAGCCCCTCCCACCCACCCATTCTCAATTGTCATAAATGCTTTATCCATTGTTGAGCTGAAGGGCAGAGTTTAGCTGCAAAATTCTCATTTCTCTACAAGAAATTATCATATGAAATATGTTTTTAGAAGGGTAGAATTTTTTAGAGAAATATTGATGATACAATTAAACTCCGACCCTCGTCTGATTACGAATGAAAAACTCATCACAATTGAAATCGGGGCGGGTGGGTGGGGCTTAAGTTATGTTTTTATTTTAATATATCAAGTTTTCTTTCAACAACAGGAAAGTTAAACATATTTTCAGTTTCTTGTTGGGAAAAGAAGATTTCGTATATTAAGAAAAAAGGGACCAAATATAAGCCCCGCCCACCCACCCCTTCTCAATTGTGATTAATGCTTTATTCATCGTGAGCTGAAGGGCGGAGTTTAGCTGCAAAATCCTCATTTCTCTACAACAAATGATCATATGAAATATGTTTTTAAAAGAGTAGAAGTTTTTAGAGAAATATTGATGTTCTAATTAAACTCCGCCCCTCGTCTGATTACGAATGAAAAAGTCATCACAATTGAAGGCGGGGCGGATGGGTGGGGCTTAATTTATGTTTTCCACTTTTTCAATTGTTTCTGATATTTTTCAATTTTTAATTTTTCGATTTTTCAGTGTTTCAACTTTTCGAATAAAAAATAGAAAAAATGCAAAAATGGGAAACCTGAAAACTAAAATATCACAAAGTTGGAAGTTGAAAAATCGTGAAATTAAAAAAATCCAAAGATTTGAAAAAAATTAAAAAATCAAAAGTTATCGAAACAGCAAAAATGGTACAATCAAAAAATTGTACAATTGAAAATTCGAAATACTGAAAAATTGGAAGATCGAAAAACCCGTAATATTGAACCATAAAAAAAAGAAATTAAAAGTAAAACAACTGAAAAATTAAAAATGGAAAAATTGTAACATTAGAAAATCCAAAAAGGAAACATTGAAAAATAGGATCAATAAGAAATCCAAAAAGTGCCAAATGGTAAAATTGAAAAACCGAAAAATTCAAAAACCTAAAGAAAACTTCAAATCTTGACATTGACAATTTCCAAGAAAAATTTAATGCCATTCATTAATTTTTATCCATTTTCAAGTTTCCCGTTTTTGGGTTTTCACTGTTTCAAATTTTCGCTTCTTCAGTTCTTCGATTTACTATGACAATTTCTCGTTTCTTTTACAATTTTTTCGGATTTTTTAATTTTTCAATTTTTCAAATTTTCGAATCGAAAAAACGTTGAAAAATCTAAAAATCGGAAAGCAAGAAGAGGATTTGAAAATTCATCAAATCGAAAAAACATTAATAAAATAAAAGAAATGATAAATAAAAATCAATAACTTGAAAAATTGAGGAAAGCAAAAAATTGAAAAATCGAAAAATGAAACACAAATTTGAAGAATTTGCAAGTCTAAAAATTAAAAAAATCGAAAAATTAAAGTTGAAAAACCAAAATTGTGAAACCGAAACATAGAAGAATAAAAAAAAAACACAAAAAAAATTAAAAATTGTGGTATCAAAAAATTTGTTGAAGATAAATAAATCCACATTTTTCGAAAAAATATGAGATTTGATTTAGCTAATTCTACTTTTTGGTAAAAAAATCTAAAAATGAAAAAATTGTGACATCAAAAAATTCCAAAATTGAAAAACTTCAAATAGAAAAATTGAAGAGTTTGGGAGTCGAAAAATTGAAATTATGAAATCGAAAAATTGTAAAATTGAAAAACTTCCAACCGTAAAGCTGAAAAATCGAAAATTTGAAGAATTTTTGAGTCGAGAAATTGATCAATTGAAAAAAATAAAGTTGAAAACCGGAAAAATTAGAAAGCTGAAATAAAAAATGGAATACTGAAAACACAAAGAAAATGAAAAACGAAAAATTGTGATATCAAAAAAATGGTCAGTGGTAAATCCAGATTTTTTGAAAAATCATAATATAAGATTTGATTTTGCTACATTTTTTTCATGTAATATCGAAAAATTGAAAAATTGAAAAACCGAAAAATGCAAAAGACGGGAAAATGTGAATTAGAAAATTGAAAACTAAATAAATCAAAAAATTCCAAAATTAAAAGTTGAGCAATTGTAAAAATTGATCTTGACATAAAGTAGTTAGGACCTTTGGAAAATCAAGCTTACAGTTTCCAAGAAGAATTTAACATGATTCATTTTTTCGAAGTTCCAATTTTTCAATTTTGGAATGTCTTGTTTTTGGGTTTTTCGATTTTTCAATTTTTTTCAGATTTTTCAGTTTTTCGGTTTTTTAACTCTTCGAATCGAAAAAGTGAAAAATTTGCCAAATCGTAAAATTTAAAAATGACAAAATTAAAAATTCTAACATCAAAAATTTACAAAATTGAAAAAAATTGAAATTGTGATTTCAAAAAATTGGTCCAAGGTAAATAAATCCAGATTTTTCGAAAAATGGACCCGGTATAGAGTTTTCTGTCAACAACAGGAAAGTTAAACATATTTTCAGTTTCTTGTTGGGAAAAGAAGACTTCGTATATTAAGAAAAAGTGGACAAAATATAAACCCCGCCCACCCAACCCGTCTCGATTGTGACCAATGCTTTATTCATCTTGAGCTGAAGGGCGGAGTTTGGCTGCAAAATCCTCATTTCTCTACAAGAAATTATCATATGAAATATGTTTTTAGAAGGGTTGAATTTTCTAGAGAAATATTGATGTTACAATTAAACTCCGCCCCTCGTCTGATTACGAATGAAGAAACACTCATCACAACTGAGATCGGGGCGGATAGGTGGGGCTTAATTTATTTTTTTTTTAAATATCAGGAAAGTTAAACATGGTTTCAGTTTTTTGTTGGGGCAAGAAGACTTCGTATATCAAGAAAAAAGGGACAAAATATAAGCCCCGCCCACCCGCCCATTCTCAATTGTCATGAATGCTTTATCCATTGTTGGGCTGAAGGGCGGAGTTTGGCTGCAAAATTCTCATTTCTCTACAAGAAATTATCATATGAAATATGTTTTTAAAAGGATAGAATTTTTTAGAGAAATATTCTCCTCCGCCCCCCGTCTTATTAGGAATGAAAAACTGAGAATGAGATGAAGGTGGGTGGGTGGGGCTTAATCTTTTTTTTATACGAGAGATATAATAAAAAATTGAAAATTAAAAATTGAAAACTCGTGATATTTCAAATCAAAAAAGTGCAAAATCTAAAAATTTAATGAATTACATATAGTTAAATGGAAGAAAGAAGAAAAACTTGAAAAATTGCAAACCGACAAATTGAAAAAATTGAAATTGAAAAAACAAAAAATTACAAAATCGGAATACTGAAAAATTGTAAAAATAAAGAAAATAAAAAACGAAAAATTGCACATGGAAAAATTTAAAACTGAAAACTCGAGAAACTCAAATCGGAAAATTGCAAAATCTAGAAATTGAATTGAAAAGTTGAAAAATTGAAAAATTTAAACTTGAAAACTAGAAAAAATGCAAATCGAAAAAATGAAGGAACAAAAAAATTAAAAAAAATTACAAGTCAAGTAAGCTGCGGGATTTATTTGGCTGCACTTCCGGGGCGCGGGAGGTTCTGTTGAAATAACATTCGACCAATTTTTGTTTATTTGATGCTCTTATTTAATATTTACACATATAGTTTTTTATGCGTCTGTTATACGGAATTTCTATAAATGATGATAGGGTCGAAGTAAGTTATAAAAACGTGCCGCCCCTCAGTTGTGGACTTTACTAAATACCCAAAGCACACGACAAATACCACACGCATCTGTACAACTGGTTGCCTAAGTGCTTCATATCTTATTCAAAAATAAAACTAATACATTAATTTAAATATTAAATATCTATTGTTCAATTTTATGTTACAACAGGAACTCCTCTGATGCTGAAGGTCTTCCAGGAGATTTTCCTTTGTTGACAATGCCAGTTCGAACAAATCTGTTGATTACATCTCTAATGTGGAACTCTAACGATGTTTCTTGAATTATTAAATCACGGTATTTGGTCAGATATTCTTGCTTAAAAGCGGTAACAGAATACACGGACTCTTCGTTTACGATGTTCCATTGCGATAACAGAACCTTGATTGACCTGACCTGACTTGAAAATGTGTGTAAATATTAACGTACTCTCTGCGCTCGCATTCTAAACGTGTTTTTTTTTTAATCTAGAGATTTATTATTAATCCGAAGTAATAAAAGTAAAACACATGAACGAATTTATAAAAATATACAGTACTTCGTGAATTACTTCTTATCGCAGCTATTATTAGCGCAAAAATTATGACTTCATTCGTTACAAAAAAATCTCATTATGATGATAACGTGCCAACTTGTTCCAGCTAATTCGAGTTATGTTTAACAAAGCACGCAATAACATATCGGACGCGCTGCTATTTAAATTAATAAAACCACTCTCTGTTTTTTCCCCTATATTTCGCACCACGACTGCCAAAACCGTCACGCTTGCCACTTTTCGCACCGATTCCCCTCTTCTTCCCTCACGGACTTAGAAAAACCTACAATTTCGACCGTCAAACATCCTCGCGTGAAATCTTCAAAAAATGATGGCGCCAATTTACTATTCCGAGATTTTATCTTTCCGTGCATTTATTAGCGGAACAGTGTTCTCAAGAAGTAGTCCAGCACGGAATCGATCTCTGTTGTATGTGTAGGGGTCTCCAGGCGACCGGCTATGACCAGAGTGACCAATACCTTTATTACCATACCCATACATTAACTGGCGTCACGAAAGTAAGGGCGAACTACCCTACTTTAAGAAACGCGCTCGACGAAATGCTGTGATTCTATTTAAGGCTGTGTGAAGTGAGGTGGTGTAGTTTTGTGATATGAATTTTTGCTAGCTGGAATATTTTAAAAAGGTAGGCGACAAATAAATAAGTAAACAAAAAATCAAAGTCAGTGCTAAAATTGCTTTGGCGAAATTTAGTTGCACATCTGCAACATACAATTATAAAAAAAAATGTTTTTCTTGCATTGAATGCACACCGTATTTCTTGGAAGCATAAAAAAACAATGAGCTGTCACATATTTCCACAAATGCCCCCACACGTGCTCATCTACATACAATAATTGATTTCGAATTATTAAAGTATTGATTGGCAGTAGCCATTCTCGATAATACTAATGAATTATAAACATGGTCGTCTGGTTGAATTTGTTTATTTGTGTATTGTCCGTCTTCCCAGTCTATATTTTCCACAAGCTTGCATACATTAGGAAAACTAGGCCAGAGTTTTGCATATCCAATAATAAATAGCAAGTGTTCAAAAAATAACACGCGAAGAAAAATTCTTATCACGTGTTGAAGCTATTTAAATTAGCATATTAATTCTGGCCTATGAATATTTAAACCGAACGAGAATAAAAACGATTAATAAATAAATAATAACGTTGTGTCGAAGCAATAAGACCTTGACAGTGAAAGCGGATTCAATCAGTCACAAAAAATCACTTTCATCTATTTTTCATACTTCAATGGTTCGCAATGATTCTATTTTTTATAAGTTGCAGGTGATTCGCCAATGCATCCTCCCCACGCCCTCCTATGGCTGTCCCTCCTCACCGCCACCCTTTCCCTCCCCGAATTCGACCGAAGCGCCCTCCTCCAGCAAGTCCTCATCCCCGCCGATGCCGCCCTCAACTCCGTTATCTACCGCCTCCGCGCCTACGACCCCACCATCGAGTACCCGCTGGTCTTCACCATGGAGAACGACCCACGTACCGTCTCCCTCGACAGCCTGAACTGCACCCACTTGAACTCCATTTGTCACGCAAACGTGGTACTACGGAAGAAGTTGGAACCTGGACGCTTCTACGACTTCACCGTGGCAGTCCAGAACCAGAGGGGCGACTCAGCCAGACTTAATTGTTCGTTCAGAGCCACCAACGCCACTACTCCCATTAGCGACATTTTTCCTGGAGCCCCCACGCTCCTGATGGTGTCTGAAGATGCGCGCCGAAACACGGAGTTGGGGAGCATCACGGCGAAGGGTCACCCCGACAAGAGAGACGGCGTGGTGATGGAGCTCTGGGGGGGAACACAATTCGGGCTCCACCAGAAACTAATCAACAGTAGAGACGCCCAAGCCACCGTGGTACTTTTAGGGACGCTGGACTACGAAACGACCACCGTACACCATCTAACCATCTTGGCCAACGTAAGTGATTTGATGGCAGCCCCGTAGCTACGGGGGGGCAAGAGGGGGCTGAGCCCCCCCTAGCAGTTGTGGTTGCCCCCCCTGGAAAACTTATACATTATAAATTTCAAATTAGTAATAAAATTTCAATATAATGCCGATTGCCGAAGCATATTAACTGGCCCCACCCGCCCCACCTTTATTTTCGTACAGGGTATATTATTTGGCAATATCACCTTACCGTTGATGTTGACCGTATAAAAAAATGAACATGTCACATTTTATTCCATAGCCTACTATGTAGGTACTTGAGAAAAGTCAAAAATATTATATGGATTTTCTAAAAATTGAGCTTTTATTGAAAAAATCGACAAAAAATTCTGAGATGTAGATCTCGATGAGCTTAATCAAAAAACATAAGGTCTTGATGGTCCCAGACCAAGATTTTTCAAAAATTCGGTTCCAAAGTCGACATTTCAAGATTTCTGAAAAATTACATTTCTTTTGGCGGCTCTGGAAAAATTGTACGAATTTTCGAAAAAATAAAACCAAAAAAAAAACATTTGGAGATCGAAATCAATAAAAAGATCCCTTCTGCTAGTTTTAGAAAATGCGTGGGAAAAGTCAATTTTTTTTTATAGATTTTCAAAAATTGAGCTTTTGTTGAAATTGGCTGAAAATCTACAAAAAATTCTGAGATGTAGATCTCGACGAGTTTAGTCAAAAAACATAAGGTCTTGCTGCTATTCGGTTTCCAAGTCGAATTTTTAAAATTTCTCAAAAATTATACTCCTATTTCTTTTGACGATTCTAGAAAAATTTTACAAATTTTCGATCAAATAAAACCAAAAACAACATCTGAAGATTGAAATAAATAAAAGAATGACTTTCGGTAATTTTTGGAAATGCTAAGAAAAGTCAAAATTTATTTAGTTTTCAAAAATTGAGCTTTTGTTAGAGTTGACAAAAAATTCTGAAATATAGATCTCGATGAGCTTAATCGAAAAACATGTTCATGCTCCCGGAGCAAAATTTACGAAATATTGGGTTCTACCTAAAATTTCTAAAAAATCTCAAAAGTGACTTAAAAAAAAGTTATTTCTTTATGCGATTGTGGAAAAATTCGACGAAATATCAAAAAAATAAAACCAAAAATAACATCTGTAGATCGAAATCAATAAAGAGATCCCTTTTGCTAATTTTCGAAGATGCTTGGGAAAAGTCAAAAAATGTATATGGATTTTCATAAATTGAGCTTTTGTTGAAATTAACAAAAAATCAACAAAAAATTCCGAGATGTAGATCTCGATGAGCTTAATCCAAAAACATAAGGTCTTGATGGTCCCAGACCAAGATTTTCGAAAAATTCGGTTTCAAAGTCGACATTTCAAAATTTCTCAAAAATTACATTTCTTTTGGCGGCTTTGGAAAAATTGTACAAATTTTCGAGAAAATAAAACCAAAAACAACATTTGGAGATCGAAATCGATAAAGAGATCCCTTTTGCTAATTTTCGAAAACGGTTGGGAAAAGTCAAAAACATTTTATGGATTTTCAAAAATTTAGCTTTTGTTGAAGTTGACTAAAAATCCACAAAAAAATCTGAAATGTTGATCTCGACGAGCTCAGTCAAAAAACACAAGGTGTAGATGGTCCCAGATCAAGATTTTCGAAACATTCGGTTTCAAAGTTCAAAAATTACATTTCGTTTGGCGATTGCTGAAAAATTTTACGAATTTTCAACCAAATAAAACCAAAAACAACATCTGGAGATCGAAATCAATAAAGGAATCCCTTATCTGAGTGGCTTAAAAGTACAAGAAAACACTTCAAAAGTGACGTTTCTGAAGAATTTTAACAGTTTTCTTGTATCTACGAACGCCAGAATGCATAAAATTGACCTAAACGTCTCCTTTTCCTATTCTGAGTCGATTCTGCATGCTTTAAGTGTGTTTGGTGGCTCAGAACCATCAAAAAACGTTGAAATATAGTTCAAATTCAATAAAATTCGACAAAAATACAGTTTCTAGCTAAAATTTGATGGTTTCGTTGCACTTTCCGAGCCCGTAAAGTCAAAAATTTGATACAGGTTCTCAAAAATTGCCATATTTCTTCCGTCGATTCTGGAAAAATTGTAAGAATTTTCAAAAAAATTGAATCCAAAACGATTTTTGGAAATCGAGATGAACAAAGGAGTCTCTTTTGATAATTTTTAAAAATGCTTGGGAAAAGTCAAAAATTTTATATGGGTTTTCAAAAATTGAACTTTCGTAAAAGTTGACAAAAAATTCTGAAATATAGATTTGGACGAGCTTAAAAAAACATGACAGGTTCATGGCTCCGGATCAAAATTTTCGAAATACTCGGTTTCGAGCTCGAATTTTCAAAATTTCTCAAAAATTACCATATTTCTTTTGGCGATTGTGACAAAATTGTACGAATTTTCGAAAAAATAACCAAAAACAACATCTGGAGATCGAAATCAATAAAGGAATCCCTTTTGGTAATCTCGAACGTGCTTGAAAAAAAGTCAAAAATTTGACACAGGTTCTCAAAAATTGCCATATTTCTCCCGTCGATTCTGAAAAAAAATTAGAATTTTAAAAAAAATTGAATCCAAAACGATTTCTGGAAATCGAGATGAACAAAGGAATCTCTTTTGGTAATTTTCGAAAATGCTTGGGAAAAGCCAAAAATTTTATATGGGTTTTCAAAAATTGAACTTTCGTAAAAGTTCACAAAAAATTCTGAAATATTGATTTCGACGAGCTTAAAAAAACATGACAGGTTCAAGGTTCCGGATCAAAATTTTCGAAATACTCGGTTTCGAGCTGGAATTTTCAAAATTTCTCAAAAATTACCATATTTCTTTTGGCGATTATGGAAAAATTGTACGAATTTTCGAAAAAACAACATCTGGAGATCGAAATCAATAAAAGAATCCCTTTTGGTAATTTCGAACGTGCTTGAAAAAAGTCAAAAATTTGATACAGGTTCTCAAAAATTGCCATTTTTCTTCCGTCGATTCTGCAAAAAATGTAAGAATTTTCAAAAAAATTGAATCCAAAACGATTTTTGGAAGAAATCGAGATGAACAAAGGAATTCTTTTGGTAATTTTCGAAAATGCTTGGGAAAAGTCAAAAATTTTATATGGGTTTCCAAAAATTGAGCTTTTGTTAAAGTTGACAAAAAATTCTGAAATGCACATTTCGACGAGTTTAAAAAAACATGACGAGTTCATGGTTCGTACCAAAATTTTCGAAATATTTGGTTTCGAAGTCGGATTTTTAAAATATGTACTAAACATGCAAAAAAATAAACTCAAACAAATTGGATGTTACCTATATGACAGCTGTTTGTGAATCTACATTCTCTGTTTTAACCAGCATTTTAACCAAGTACCGTACTAATTTTTTGGACTTCGACAGGTTTTTACGAAAATTTAGCGTAAAAAATCGGCGTTTCCAATTATTTTAATGTTCTTTCAAATATAAAAACTCAAAAAAAATAAAGTAGTTATCTGAGTGTATTATTAAAATATAAATATTTACATGAAGCCCCCTCTGTCGACAAACTTGCCCCCCCTGAATAAGTTTTCTAGCTACGGGGCTGTTTGATGGTAGTACTCTAGGTGACTTGATTGTTCGTAGGACCCATGGACAATTTCGTCTGAGGACACGCGAAATATCGCGTCGTGGCCCTTCCTCGTCGCTGTTATCGACGTACAAGACACGCCCCCAGTCTTCACTCTGGCTCCACCCACGACCACTCTAAGCCCCGCCTTGTTACCAGGTGACCCGGTGCTGCGCGTGCACGCCGAAGACGGTGACCGGGGAAACCCGCGCGACATCAGGTACGGACTAGTACCAGAAGGCAATCCGTTCACCCCCTTCTTCAACATCTCGGAGCAGACGGGCGAGCTCCGACTGGTGCGACCTTTAAGCGACATAACCTCAATTTCACACAGCGGGCAGCCGTTCTTGTTGACGGTGATAGCCGAAGAGGTGCGGACTAACCCGAACGAACCACCGGCGCAGGCCTCCACGGTCACTCTAGCTTTGATACCCCCAGGAGTTCGCACAGGTCCGTATCATCTAACTTTACTTTTTTTTTTTACTAAATTAGTATGATAGGTAGCCCGATTTTTGGCGCCACGGAATATAGTACCCTTCTAGACGAAAACTCTCCACCTGGTACCGTCTTGGACTTGCCTCAGAGCGAAATCGTGGCTCAAGGTAACCACGTGTCGTTGAGTCTGAGTGGCAACAATGGTACCTTCGACGTGGTACCCACAGTAGTGGAAAACGACGGGAAGTTTGAAATTAAAGTACGGGATCCGACTCTCCTCGACTACGAAAAGTGGCACTCGGTTCAGTGTTACATCGTGGCTAAAGAAATCGGGGGCAATTTCACTACGCGAGCTCGATTGGAAGTACTACTCAATGACGTTAACGACAACGGGCCTGTTTTTACCCAGACAGAGTACAGAGCGTCAATTCCGGAGAACGCGGTGGCTGGAACGGTCGTGGTTAGGGTGGAGGCTACAGATGTTGATAGACCCCCAGGGAACAAAATTCGCTACACCCGTCTGTCGGGTACGGGTAGTACCTTCTTCGACTTGGACCCGTCGAGTGGGGTTATCACCGTACTAAACCCACTGGGTCTGGACGCTGAAGCCACCCCAGTGATTACTTTCACGGCTGAAGCGGCCGACGAAGATGGTCGTGGTACCACCAGCAGTACCATCGTCACGGTCACTCTGATCGACCTAAACGATGAAAAACCCCAATTTGAGAAAAACGTCTACGAGTTTATTCTGAACCAAGATAAGAGTGCCTTCACTACTCGAGCTTTCGTCAAAGCGATTGACAAGGATATTTCGTCCCCGAACAACGAAGTTCGGTACGAACTTATCAAGGACTTGGACGGGGTACGACTAGACGAAAGAAGCGGCGAATTAGTGGTGACCCGAACTTGGTCTAAGAACCGGGTTGTTAGTACTGTTGCCAGAGCGTGGGACTTGGGAGTACCTCGATTATCAACTGAGTGCGAAATTCGCATCTACCCCCCTGATGGTCAATCCAGACGGATGGTCTTCATAGTTCCCGGAAAGCACCCAGACTTGGACGCTTTAAGAAAACAATTGAGTGTGTTGACGGGTGCTAGGATCACCATTGAGGAAGTGAGACCGTACGTGGGGGACGAACCCGGAGCCAAAGAAGTCGGTAGTGGCTCTGGCACCGACAGAAGCGTCGTCGTGGTCACCGCTACCTACTCCGACGATATCATCGATGTCAACACAGTTCGCCAGGTTTTCGACGAAAAACACACCACCCAAATCCAGAAAGCTTCTAAAACCACGGGCAACCTCTGGTGGCTCTTGATTCTTCTGATAGTACTAGCTCTTTTGTTAGCTCTTATTCTGATCTTGTGCTGTATTTGTCAAGGTTGTCCTTTGTACGTCCCCCCCAAACGTCGCAAAGTGGTGTCAGCGGAAATCAAAAAGGTAGTCCAAGGAGAGGGACTAGGCAAAGAGAGCAAAAGCGTCCAAGTGGCTGAATGGTTCGGACGAAGAGAAGCCTGGACTCCTGAGCACGTCATGGTAGACAACGAAGCCGAGTCTTTGCGCAGACACGAGCAAGAACGAGGTTCCGACAGAACAGAAGCTAGAAGAAAATTGGAAAGAGAAGTATCCAGGGACCAGTTGTACATCCGTGAAGGGAACGCCGATATTCTTAGATTGATCACGCGAGGAAACGACAACGCCTACTACGTCACAGACAGCGGCAAAGACATCCTAATGAAACGATTCATAGATCAGCAACAAGAAACCAGAAGCGTGAATCTACCAAATGCGGTGAGTCGTCTGCAGACAGAGCACGAACTCTTGGAGGCGTCTTTAAGACAACAGAACGCCCTCTTGAGACAAATTCTGCAAGAAAGAGAAAGAGACTTAAGATTGGAGACGCAGTCACTACCCGCAGGTACTCAAACGGACCAAGACCAAGAAACCCAAACCGAACCTCTCTTCTTACGACGAAAAGTCCGTTCTGACAATGACGCGAGTGACGGGAGCGACGACGAAGTCGCTCTAATTCGGGCAAGAGCAAGACGAAGAAGACCACACTTGAGGAAACTGAAGACCCCAATCCAGGAAGAATCAGAAGTGGAAGAAAAACCAACCAAAACTAGCGCGAAGCGCGTTAATGTTCGACACACCAAAACTAGCGAACTCAGGCAGAAGAAAGCATCCGCTAACACCAGAAACATCAAGAAGGAAGTTCTAAGAGAGATTTCGGCGTCGTTGGAGTACAGCAACTCCGACGAAGATCGAAAAGAGGCGTACTTTTCTGAAGATAGTTTAGAAGAAATCAGTCCGCGATCTGAGAAGACGACGGATTCGAGTAGACTCAAGTACCACTCTGAGTCAGATCTTCGACTACCGTCTCCCACTCCACGGAAAGAAGTTACGTCGCAGAGTCAAACCGATCTTCGTGAAGACAAACCCCAGAAGAAGAAATCGAAGCGGACTTCGAGGTACATGGAGTGGTACAAAAAGCAACCGAAAGGGAGTAAGAGTGACGACACGAAGAGTTCGAAGGGGAAGATTAGGAAAACGTCGAAAGAAAAGGAGGTTAAAGAAAGTGCGAAGAAAGTGTCGAGTCGGTTGTTGCAGGACACCGAATCTAGCTCTAGGAAGAAAGTTGAACCCAAGAAGAACGTACCAGGGCCTGAGCACCCGCTTCTTCAGCACTCGGAGCACCGTTTCGAGGTTCAGTATCCCAAAACGAAGAAACCTGATGAAGATAAAGATACAGATTCGGGGATTGCGTTGGCCAGGCTTCCAAAAGCACAGAAGAAGAGCGTGTTTACGATAGCTTACGACGACATGCATACGAGTCAGTTGAGGCCGGATAGTACTAGTCCACCTGTGTAATTTTCTGTCTATTTTGTATATTTTCGTAATTAAAAGAATGTCCTCTGGTGTTAACCCACTAGATCTTCGGTTCTAACCTAGATCTACATAACGACAATAAAAAAAACACTCAAACTAAGTTGTTTTTATTTAAATAGCAACATAAATACACTCTATGAGAGCTCATAATATAAATAAATAAATAAATATTGTTATCTCACTTCGTCTTCACTCTATGGCCAAACGCCTCATCCCCACCCCTCCTCATCTCCTCTGTAATCAAATCCTCTTGGGAGTAGTCGTCGTAAAGCTCCTCCCCGTCGTCCAATTGACCACTATCATCCCGTATATCTTCTCCGTCTTCGGGAACGTAGATCGAAACAGGTACCTCATTCTTCTTTTGTAAACTACTATTCAACTGCCCGGCTGCTTGTAAACTCGCTAAGGCATCCCCGGCCTCTTTATTTGGTAACGTGATGTAGTAACCCTCAGTAACATTCTTCTCGCTGGGTTTAGCATCCGGGACACTGTTACCATTATCTCTGGTATCGAAGTAGTTCTGGACGTACTGTGACTGTATGATGGATTCAGAGGCTTCAGGCTCGAGATTATAAGTGGCGGTGACCAGAGACGATGGGTCTCTTCGTGTGGGTTCGTCGTGGCCACTCTTATCCATGGCGAATTGTTCAGGTGCAGGCTCCACATAGTTCTGCTGGGTTTGTTGGAGGTAATTCGGGAGTAGTGGAAGGGTAATCGTCGACGGGTTAACCAGATGGTACTGATAAAGGTCATTGGGAAGAGTGTGAGTTTCGTAGTAGGTCTTGAACACCGTCTGCTTAGCAAAATCGGGAGCTTCGGTCACTTGGTACTGATGCGCTTTTTGAATTTGGACATAGGTAGCTACTTCTGGGTATCTCTGCATCTGGAACTAAACAAGTCGTGTCAGATTATAAAATAGTTGAATTAGTATCTAGTGACTTACTTTCTCCGCCCCTGGCTCCACCTTCTGCCCCACTGGCCTATCCGCCAAGCTCAAATTCGGGGCAGGAATAGTATGTATGGGCCCCTTCTCCCCAATCTGCTTGATCGTCTGGATATTATTCAAGACGTTGTTACTCTGGATCTGGAAGTCGTACTCTTGGGCTAAAATTGCCGGCGACGACTGGAACGTCTTCTTGGGTAAAACGGGGGCGGAAGTCACGAAATACTGCTCGGTGGGGGTGGACCGGAAGGTCGTTTGGGTGTTCTTCCAGAAGCTGCGCACCGGAACGGCGACGGGGCGGTTGACGGAGGCCGCCGCCCCCATTTGGATTTTGTGGTGGGGGGGCATGCGCACGGGGATCGGGGGGCGGATGGGGGGGCGCTGGCGCGATGGGGCAGGGCGCGGGGGCTGCTGCTGCCACTTCTTGATGGGTTGCTGGTAGGGCGGGGGCTTGGGGTAGTGGGCGGGGTTGCGGAATTTCATGCGAGGGTACTCGGACAGGGCGAGAGGGAGCAGGGCGACTAGGAGGGCGAAGACGAAAGGCTGGAACAAAAGTGTGATTTATGCAACCAACAATACACTAATTTCTGAAAAACAATTATTCGTGTGCTTAAATTAATGTATGGGTTTGTGATTTTCAAAATAGTTGTTTTAACTTAAAAAAAAACAACTACTTAGATGCAGTTTTGATTTTTAATAGCTGGAAATTGGGGTGTGAGTTATGCAACCAATAATGCGTGTTTTTGGATGATGTTTTACTAAATGGTTGTTCGGTTTTGTGGTGGTGACTAATCAGAATGTAACAGGGCCGGAATTAACGCATTTTGTGGACAAGGAAGTCCTCTGTAGGTCATCTTATAGTATGCAACATGCAGGTATTCAGTGACCTGGATATTACAAGTAGCACTGTTTTAGAAGCTCGTGTAGGTTTACTAGTGCAAAATGGAGAAATCTATTAGAAAAAAAATCTAGGTCAATATCTATCGACAGGTTTTTCCTTCCGGTAAAATTTATTATTTTTTTAACAATTATTTTTATATTCGAATGTAGTGCATAGTGGGTCAACGGACTCTCACTTTGGCCAAAACCTGTACTCTACATTCCGTGTGTCAAGAAAACAAATATTCTGATTAGCAAAAAAAAAAATTTTTTTATTTTCCAAAATTACTAAATTTCAATGATCTCCAAAAACCCCACACTTGATTAAATAAAATCGCCAATTTTGACTAAAATTTAAAAAAGCGTGTTTCTTTTTGTACAATAAAGCGCTTAAATCAGTTTTCAACTTACCTTCATTTCGGAAAATCGAAGAGTTTGCTACAAGCTCATGTATGAAGAAGACACACTTAAGTCGGCCACTGCAGTCAAAACACACTCAGTAAACTGAACAATTAGGTCAGTGAACCAACTTATATATCAGAGAGAAGACATTCAATTCGGAATCTTCTCTCACATCGCTGTTAAATTTCCGATCGGTGAAAACTCTAATTATTGTCTATATAATTTAACAACTGTCACTTTTTTCGCTTTGATTGCTAGTAATTTCGATGAAAGTGCCAAGGAAAATGCGCTTTTTGGGTCGGTAATCGTGTCGTTCGTGCGTGACGCACTTCTGACATCTTTTTTTCAGTTCTATGACTCTTTCTTTGACTTTATGGTTGATTTGATTAATTATCAGTTATCACTGATTAAATAAACAGCCATCTCTAGTCGTTTCATGTTTATGGGAAAATCAATCCAGGTTTCGTACTTCTGTGATTAAAACTAAACCAGTAAAAATTCCAGTTTTAATTTATTAAAACCATATGTACAAACATCAAGAACCAACAGAGTAAATTAAATTCCGAAACAAGAGGATGAAAAAGACAAATAAAATTTTTTTTTATTGTTGAAACTTATTTTCTAAGGTGGTTGGCACAGTGTGGAACCAGTTCTGGTTCTTCACAGGTGAGAGAGTTCTGGTCGAAGGCTTTTCCGTCACCGCAGGAAATCAGACGCGGGAATCCGTTGACACACGTGATGAGGCGGCTGCAGTCTCCGGGGACGGCGAACCTGGGGTAGGGCCAGAACTTGGCGGCGGGGGTATTAGACGGGACCTTGGTGGGACACTTGAAACCCACCACAGCTGAAACAAACACCCTCAAAATTTGACAAAAATCCGTCCATAAATAAGAAAGTAGTACCTTCCGGATTGCACACCTCCAGAAGGAGATCTGGCCAGTTGCACCCGTGGATACGGTCGTCGTAGACCAATCCAGGCTCGCATTGCTGGGGCAAAGGTTCTCCGTGGGCACACTTGATGTAGTTGGTACTGCAAGCCTCACTCTCCGGGTATATTCCGAATTGGTACTCGCAACCAGGGCTACTGATCGGGGTCACTTAAAAAAGAAAGTTAGATTTATTGTTTTATCTTATTGTCACCACGACAAGAATATCGTGGTACTAAAAAATTACGGTCAGCTTTGCGATTTCCGCAGTCCACGGCCCAGTGGTAGTTGCAGTGGTGGTGCGCAGCTCCTTTCCCGTCGAAGAGTAGGCCATTTTCGCACTGTTCCACCGTGAGAGTACCATTGGTACACAAGAAGAACAGGTTGCAGGACTCGGGGTGGGCGTACGCTTGGACTCCGTGTTGCTCCGGGCAGCTGGGGGCATCTTGGAGCAGGACTCCAGCGTTGACTGAAATCACAATTGTAGTGGAACGGTACTACCAAATTCCATATTCTGGCGCAAAAACGCGGCCAGATGTGGAACGACCACTAGAAACTTCTCGAACATGCAAATTTTTACAGATTTTCGTTTCTAAACGAAAGTACTACCTACGGAGAAGCAATTATTTATGGTAATTAAACAGCGGTTTTAACAAAACCATAAAAGTAAACTTGAGGAATGTCAAGTAGGTCGTACTTTCTGGTACTGTTTGCAATGGAGGTGCGGAAGCGTTCGCGTAATAATTCAGACGCGTGTACATGAATAGAAATGTCATAGGTTAGTCAGTTTGCCAAAATTGAAAAATCTAGTATGCGTATTATCTAAAAACTTGAAGAATGTGTGTTAGTTTAAAGTGTGACACTAATCGGATCACTTTCACTCGAATAGTACTCGAAAATGTAGAACAGTACCGAAAGATGTTCCACAATTTTTCCAAAAAAACCACAATATGGTACTTACCTGTCGAGAGGACGGAAAGAGTAACCAGCAGAAATACTCTCATGTTGCCTTATCCTTGATAACTGGTACTAACAGCGGCCAAGTCGCACCAACAACACTTTCTATACTACAAAAATGTGTGGTTTGTGCTGCACATAGTACCACTCACTCGTGGTATTTCGCTCGGGTTGGTGATATATTAATGAGACAATAAGAACTAATTGGGCCACGCTATCTTTTTTTTTTTTGGTTTTGCAGACATATAATAGTAGTACCTTGTCAAGGTCACGGGATTTTGCTTAGACTGTACTTCCTCCAGACGTGCACTAACTGTATTTAGTGGTACCATATATAGGGTGTTGGCTACTTCCGTACTATTTGTTTTAGTCGTTATTGTACGCAGTAATTTAGTTATTGTGTAATATGTGAACCAGAGCAGTGAAAGTTACTTAAAACTGTTAAGTTGTTTCATACTTGGGTACTTTTAAGTCTTTCGAGGTCATTAGCTCGGGAGAACCGAGCGGCAATATTGAGCGGTTTGCCACAAAAAAGTGAGCTTGAAACCATTTAAACACAAAAGGAAAATAAAAAAAATAGCTATAATTCTATAACTATAAATGGTTCATTTTAAACATGAGGGTAGCCCAAAAATTTCAAAACAGATAATAAAATCCGTGGGACAAATTTTTAAACAATGGGAGGTTTAGCGAGACGGTTTGATAACTAAATAAATGGTACAATGACAGTTACGTAAGGTATAACCATAAAAACGCACCTATTTTGAACCAGTTAACACGTAATTACCAAGTTCATAAATAAATAATAGTTTTTACTTTTCAATTAATTTTTAGATTTTCAATGTCTCAATTTTTTTTTTGTATTTCAGTTTTAATTATTATTATTTTTCGATTTTTGATTTCTCAATTTTTAGACTTTTTGATTTTTCAATGTTTCGATTTAACAATTCTTCGATTTTTCAATTTTTGCTTTTTAGATGCATATTTTAAGATTAGATTATTTTAATTTTTCGATTTTACAATTTTTCTGTTCACGATTTTTGATTTTTGGATTTTGTTATTTTCAAACTGGTGCTTTTTATTTTTCAGTTAGATTTTTTTAATAGATACTTTGATTTTTCAATGTTTCGATTCCGCTTTTTCGATTTCTCAATTTTTGATTTTTCCACTTTTCGATTTTTTCACTTTGCCGATTTCTGAATTGCAATTTTTCTTTTCACATTTCAGTTTTGTATTTTTCAGCTTTTCGACTTTTAGATTTTTCGGTTTTTCCCAATTTCTGAATTTTTGGATTTCTTGATTTCCCAACTTTCCGAATTTTATATTTCCCATTTTTCAACTTTATCAAATTTTCGACTTTTCACCATTTTCCGTTTTTCGGCTGTCAGTATTTTGATTTCCCAATTTTTTTACATTTTCGACTTATTCGACTTCCCAATGTTCTGATTTTCCAATTTTTAGGTTTCGAATATTTTAATTTTTCGAGTTATTTTCTTCACTGAAATTTTGATTTTCTAGTTTTTTTAATTTCTCAATTTTTCGACCTCCGTTTCCCGATTTTTGATTTTTCGACTTTTCGATTTTTCAAGTTCCCAATTTCTAAATTTTCGATTTCTCGATTTTTCCAGTTTCCGAATTTTCAATTTCTATATTTCAATTTTGCGACTATCGGTTTTTCAAATTTTCAACATTTCCACTTTTTAATTTTTCCATTTTTCGGTTTCCCAGTTTCGGATTTTTGAGTTTTTCGAGTATTTCGTTTTTTGGCTTTTCAGTATTTTTATTTCTCGGTTTTGGATTTTTCAATTTTTCGATGTTTCGATTTCACGGTTTTGATTTTTTTAATTTTTGGGCCCCCAGTTTTTGAACTGATATTTTGATTTCCCCGATTTTCTGATCTTTCGACTTTTCGATGTTTCAACTTTTAGATTTCTCGATTTTTGATTTTTCGGTTTTTCAATTTTCTCATTTCTGAATTTTTGATTCCTTGATTTTTCGACTTTTCGATTATTCAAATTTTCGATTCTTCAATTTTTCGATTTTTCAGTTCTTCGACTTTTCAGTATCTTGATTTTTCAAGTTTTTTATTGTTCGATTTCTCAGTTTTGGATTTTTCAAATTTTCGACTTTCCGATTTTTCGACTTCTTTATATTTTGATTTCTTCAATTTTAGATTTTTCAATTTTCCAAATTTTCGATTTCTATATTTCAATTTTTCGGTTTTTCGAATTTTCAACATTTTAATTTACCAATTTTTTGACTTTTCAACTTTTTGATTTATTAATTTTTTGGATTTTTCGATTTCCAAGTTTCAGATTTCTTGGTTTCGAATTTTTCAATTTTTGTGTCTCTGGTTTTTTGACTGCTATTTTGATTTCCTTGATTTTCTGATTTTTCGACTTTTCGGTGTTTCGACCTTTATAGATTTCTCGATTTTTTACTTTTAGAATTTTCAGTTTTTCAATTTTCTAATTTCTGAATTTTCGATTTCTTGATTTTTTGACTTTTCAAATTTTCGATAGTTCAATTTTTTGATTTTTCAATTTTTCGACTATTAAATATATTGATTTTTCGATTTCTCAGTTTTGAATGTTTTAATTTTTCGACTTTCCCGTTTTACGACGTAAATATTTCGATTTCACAATTTTTCGATAAACCAAATTTTTGATTCTTCAATGTTTCGATTATTCGTTTCTTCAACTTTCCAATATCTTGATTTTTCAAATTTTTGATTGTTCGATTTCTCAGTTTTGGATTTTTCAATTTTTCGACTTTCCGATTTTTCAGTTTTTCGATTTTTCGTCTTTTCAATATTTTAATTTCTCAATTTTTCGATTTTCCGATATCTCGGTTTTGCATTTTTCAATTTTTTGATTGATATTTTGATTTCCTTGATTTTCTGAATTTTCAAGTTTTTCAATTTATTTATTATTATTTTCTGATTTCTGACTTTTCGCTTTTTCAATTTATCAATTTTTCGATTTCCTAATTTTTCGATTATATATTTAAATTTTCGTTTCTTCAATATTTTGATTTCCCGATATTTTGATTTTTTAATTTCTCAGTTTCGGATGTTTGAATTTTTCGACCTTCGGGTTTTACGAATTCGATACTTTGAATTCCTCGATTTTTTGAATTTCCGACTTTTCTATTTTTCGACTTTTAGATCTCTGGATTTTTCAATTTTCGATTTTTCGAATTTTTGATTTCACAGTTTTGCGATTATTCAACAAATTTTCGATTTTTCAGTTTTCCGATATTTTCATTTTTTCGTTTTTTCAATGTATATCTTGATTTTTCAATTCTCTGAGAAATTTTTGGATTTCTCAGTTTTGGATTTTTCACATTTTCGACTTTCCGATTTTTCAACTTTTCTATATCGATTTTTTGATTTTTCAACGTCTCAGTTTTTCGATATTTCAAGTTTTAAAGTTCTCAATTTTTAATTTCTCTATTTTTCAAGTTCTCAATTTGTAAATTTTCGATTTCTTGATTTGTCGGCTTTTCGACTCTGATTATTTTAATTTCTCGATTTTTCCAGTTTTCAGTTTTGAATTTTTCAATTTTTCAATTTCCCAACTGTTCGATTTTTACCCATTTTCGGTTTTTCATAGGTTTTAATTTTTAGATTTCTCAATTTTCCAAATTTTGGATTTTTTTATATTTCAATTTTTCGAGTTATTTGGTTTTTTCGACTTTTCAACATTTTCCTAATTTTTCAATTTTTCAATTTCCCAGTTTCGGATTTCTTAGTTTTTCGACTTTTCTATCCATATTTTGATTTATTCGATTTTTTGATGTTCCAACTTCTCGGTTTTTCGATATTTCAAGCTTCAAGTTTTTCGATTTTCTATTTTCTCAATTTTTCGACTTTTTGATTTTTCAATTACCCTGGTTCTAAATTTTCGAATTATTTCAACTGTCCCACTTTTACCGATTTTTCGATTTCTAAAATTTCGACTTTTCAAATTTTTCAATTTTTAGAATTTTGAATTTTCCAAATTTTCGATTTTTCGATTTTCAAATTTTTCAAATTTTCGACTTTTGGATTTTTCGATTCTTCGATTCTTTTTCTCAAAATTGTAAAATCACAAAGTCAAGAAATCGAAAAATCGCAAAAGAGAAAAACTGAAAAATCAAAAAATCGAAAAATCAAAAATTGGAAAGTCCGAAAATACCAATAAAAAACTAAGAAATCGAAAAGTCGAAAAGACGGAAAAGTGAAAAATGTAACAATCGAAAAACCGAAAATTCGAATAACCGAAAAATTGAGAAAATAAAAAATTGAAAAGTCAAAAAAAAATCATAAATCGGACAACCAAAGAGTCGAAAAGTCGAGAAATGAAAAAATCGAAATTCCAGACGTTAATAAATCTAATTATAGTTAAGAACGATAACTTTTAAGACCTATTAGTTACTTATTTACCCAATTATAGCTACCAATTTAGCTTAAAATTTCGCACCTCAAATTATCCACCGAAAAATAAAACGCGAATTAATTCGGCTCAAATTTGGAACCGGTTGCCAAACCGGTACCAAAATGTCACCCATTAATTAAATTTCATACAACTACCATTTGAAGGCTAGTTAATAAAACAACAATAATGATAAATAATAAATAACATTAACATAAAAAGGTGCTAAAATGTGAAATGTGAATTATCAGACTAGAATTAAAACGAGAAAGTTGTTTGATAACTTGTCTTTTTTTTTTCATTTGAATACATTCCTAAAAAAGAAATTGGCGTACAGCGTGCTGCAAAAAGCAGGTCACACTTTGTTCGCTAATACAAAATAAAAAAAATACACACAATGTAAAAAAAATTAAAACTACTTCATTCTTCAAGCTTTCTTCGTCTTCGACTTCTCTGCCTTTTCGTAGAAGTCCTCACTGTAACAACAAAGAAATAATTAACGATTTAAAATCGGACCAAAGTTACCATCCAGGGACATCTTTGGGGTCGTCACACGAAAAAGTCTCTTCGTTGTAGACCAACCCCTTGGTACACGACCCCTTTTGGGGCATTACCCCGTTTCTACAGATGTAGAATTTGCTGCAGTCTTCCGGATGGGCGAAAGTGGGGTGGGGTAACTTGCGACCATTGGGACCCAAAGTCTCTTCTTCGGGACACGAAAAACCATCATCTAGCTTGTCTGTAAAAAACGTAACTATTAGTTAGGAGTTTTTATTAGTTAGATGGTTACGTTTAGCTTGTATTTTTCTCTTCAGTGGATAAAAATTAACTCACTGGTGAAAAATTGGCGCTTATGGATGGTTTTTAATTAGTTAAGAGTTTTATTAGTTAGTTATTTTTGCAAACCTCGTTTAGCTTTTTTGCAGTCTTGTCTTTTACTGTTGTCGGCCCACGCGCACGTGCTGGAGGTGTCGTCGTAGATGAGGCCGGGGGGACAGGGGAGTTCGTGGGGTACCCCATTGACGCAGTTAAAGAATTTATCACAAGCTAGGGGATCGGAGTGGCGGTAATAACCATTGGCGCGGGGGCACCCGGGGCTGGGTTGGGGTTCCTCTGAAAAATAACAGCTAAATCATAGCTAAGAATTTTCCAGTTATAGTTAATAAAAAATGTAATGACAGTAGTGATAATTAAAAATCTAGCACTCGTCACAATTTTTGACCAAACTACTTTCAAAATCCCGCAATTGAGAACACCCTCACTTCAACCCACATGACGTAACCATTAACCAATCAATAAGTTCCCACGGCACCCATCTTCAAAAAAACCCATCAACCATAAAGGTCATCCAAACCGCTTTTTCTCCACAAAAAAAGAAGAAAGCCCATCTTCCCTTACATAACCCATCAAAATCAAAACCAACCCATGCAAATGTCACTTACGTAATTCGGTTCGCTCATCGCAATCCACGTTCGCTGGGATATCGCACCTCTCGTGATTGGGGTCCCTGGCGTCGAAAACCAGCCCATCTGGGCACAGTTTCTCCTCGAACTCGCCCTTAGAGCAGACGTAGTAAAGGTCACATTGGACCGGATCCGGGAAAAAGCCCGTCCTGTCTGGACACTTGAACTGGCAGGAGCAACCTGAAGCGAGTTGGAGGAATTGGAAAATTGGAGAAAAGCGAAGAAAACTCACCGGTTATGAAGATCAGAGCGAGGAGAGTTTTCATTTCTTGGTCTTGAATGGGTGCTGGAGGAGTGAAGAAAGGCGTGCGGTTTGCAAAGATTGCGTTGTTTGACTGAGTCCATGGGTCGGTGGGCAGTTCGCGGGTGCTGGGATGGGGAATGGATGGGGAGACGACACGATTTTGATGGGTTTATTTATGGGTTTGGTGCGAAGATGGTGGTGTGGGCGGCGGAAGTATAATTGGATAACCTTGCTGATTTTTTCTGGCGAAGAAATTGTAAACTTGTTCTGTTGGATAATAGCGGATACGTAATCAGCGCACTGAGGTGTGAATGCTGGGGAAGGATAGAGGAGGTAAAGACTTAGGTGGAAAAGGATAGAAATTTTAACGTTGGCTTTATTAATTAATGAACAAAATAATGAATAAAAACATGAATGAATTATCAATTACATTTCACAAGCTCCTAATTTTTAAATCACTTAAAGCTCATATAATTAATTGATAATTATTGATTCCGGTTCCGAGAACTAAGACTTGTCTAGGTACACCATATCCCCCCCCCCCCATTATATAATCTGAAAAATCGAGAAATCGAAAAATCGAGCAATCCAAAAATTGAAAAATCGAGAAATTGAATAATCGAACAATTGAAAAATTTTAATTTAGAACATCGAACAGTCAAAAATGGAAAAATAGAAAAACTGAAAAATTGAAAATTTGCGATCTCAAAAAATCGAAAAATCGGGAAGTCGAAAACTTGAAAAATTGAAAAATATGGAAATGGAGAACATGAAAAGTCGAAAAATCGAGAACTTGAATAACCGAAAATTTGGAAAAAAAATGGAAGTCCAAAAATTGAAAGAAGAATCGAAAAATCAAGGAATTAAGAAATCTAAAAATTGAGAAATTGAAAAGTTGTAATATCGAAAAACTGGCAAATATAGAAATCGAGAAATCAAAAGTTAAAAAAGTGAAATCTGAAGATTCGAAAAACTGAAAAATCGAGAAGTTGGAAAAATCGAAAAACCGAAATCTTGAAAAATTCGGAAATTGAAAAATCGAGAATTTGAGAAGTCGAAAAATCGAAAAACTGAGAAACGAACAAATGGAAAATCAAAAAATGGAAAAATCAAACGGACAAATTGAAAATTCACGATCTCAAAAAATCGAAAAATGGAAAAGTCGAAAACTTGAAAAATTGAAAAACTGAAAAACTGAAAAGTCGAAAAATCGAGAACTTGAAGAATCGAAAAATCAAGAAATTGAAAAATTTTAAAATTGGGAATTTGAAAAATTGGAAAATCGAAAAATTGAATGAAAAATCGAAAAACTGAAAAATATAGAAATGGAAAAATTGAATAAGTGGTAATCTGCGCAATCGAAAAATTGTAATATCGAAAATTTGAAATATGGAAGAGTCGAAAAATAGCAAAATCAAAAAGTCGAAAAATCTACAAACTGAGAAATTGAAACATTGAACATTAAAAAATCGAAAAATCAAAAACTGTGAAACTCGAATATCGAAAAATTGAAAAATCAACAGTTTGAATTATCGAAAAGTCGAAAAAAGTATAAACAAAAAACAAAATTGGTAAATCGTAAAATGGAATGAAAAATTTTAAAGTCGAAAAATCGGAAAACTGAAAAAACAGAAACGGGGAAATCGAAAAATCGAAAATTTGAAAAATCAGTTCTTCATGATTTGATTTTTCAATCAAATTTACGAGCTGAAAAATAGCAAATTTCAAAATTTCAGGAGTCGAAAAATCGAAAAGTAGGAAACTGAGGAATCGAAAAAATTGAAAAATTGAAAAAGTGGCAATCTGAAGAATCGAAAAATTGAAACAACGAAAATTTGAAATATCGAAAAGTCGTAAAATAGAAAAATCGAAAACTGAAAAATCCAAAATTCGATAAATTGAAAAATTGAAAAACATAAAAATCGACAAGATGTAAAAGTCGAAAATCAAAAAATCGAAAAATCAAAAAACTGTAAAACTTTAATTATCGAAAAATTGAAAAGTCAACAACTTGAATCATCGAAAAGTCGAAAAATGTAGTATAAATTAAAAAATCGAAAATTCCGGAAATTGAAAAAGGCATAAAGTCGAAAAAGGGAGAAATTCAAAATTGAAACATCAAAAAATTGGAAAATCCAAAATTCAAGAAATTGAAAAATCGAATAATCGGTAAATCGTAAACTGGAATAAAAAATCTAAAAGTCGAAAAATCGAGAAACCGGAGAACTGAAAAAATAGAAATCGGGAAATCGAAAAACTGGAAAATCAAATCATGAGGAATTGAAAATTCGAAAAATTTGAAGAAACGCGAAAGAGTTGAAAAAGCGAAAAGTCTACGAACTGAAAAATTGAAAAATCGAAAAATCCTAAACATTGAAAAATCGAGAAATCGAAAACAGGAAACGAAAAATTGAAAAAATGAAAATTCGAGATAATCAGAACTCCAACAAGTAAAAAATCTAGAATCTAAAACATCGAAAAATTGAGAAATTTAAAATTAAAAAATCGAAAAATCGAATAATCGGTAAATCGTAAAATAATTTGAAAAATCTAAAAGTCAAAAAATAAAATATGGAAATCCTAAGAATTGAAAAGTCGAAAAATTTGAAAAATCGAAAAACTAAAGAGTCGAAAAATTGAAAAATCTGCAAACTGAAAAACGAAAATTTGAAATAATCAAGACTCTAAAAATTGAAAAATCTAAAAATCAAAAAACTAAGTAACCGAAAAATTGAAAAATTTAAATTTAAAACATCGAAAAGTGAAAAAAATGAAAATTTGAAAATTCGCGACGTCAAAAAATCGAAAAGGCGAAAACTTGAAAAATTGAAAAATCTGGAAATAGCGAAACTGCAAAATCGTAAAATCGAAAATTTGGAAAAATCGAAAAATTTATCAAATCGAAAATTGGAAAAAATGGGAAATCGAGAAATTGAAATGTGAAAAATTGAAAAATTGACGAATCAAAAAATAGAAGAGTCAAAAATAAAAAAATTGCAAAACTAACATAGAAAAATTGAGAAATCTAAAAGTCGAATAATTGAAAACTGGATAAATCGAGATTGAAAGAATCTCGAGGTATTCTGGTGTTTTGTTTTTGAAATATGTAAACTGAAAGGAAAAGTCGAAAATTCAAGAAATCGTAAAATTGAAAAATAGAGAAATCGAAAAATTGTGAAATCTATAAATCGAAAAATTAAATGAAAAGTCTAAAAATCGAAGAGTCGAAAAATCAGGAAATTACAAAATCAAAAAACTAAAAAATATAGAAATCGAGAAATGGAAAAATTGAAAAAATGAGAATCTGAAGAATCGTTAAATTGAATAATAGAGAAATTGAAATATCCAAAATTTGAAATATACCTAGAAGAGTCACAAAATTGTAAAATCGAAAAGTCGAAAAATCGACAAATGAGAAATTGAAATATTGAAACATCAATAAGTCGAAAAATCGAAAACTGTAAAACTGAAATATCGAAAAATTGAAAAATCAACAATTTAAGTAATCGAAAAGTCGAAAAATGTACAAATTAAAAAATCGAAGATTCGATGAATTGTAAAAAACCCAAAAGTCCCAAAATCAAGTTAACAAAAAATCGAAAAACTGAAAAATTCTGAATTGAAACATCGAAAAATTGAAACATTATATATTTGAAATATCCGAAGATCGAAAAATGGAGAAATCCAATACTTGAAAGTCGAAAAATCGAAAGGTGGAAAAGTTGCAAAATCAAGTAATCGAAAATTGGAAAAGTTGAGAAATCTCAAGAAATCGGCAAATCGAAAAATCGAAAAATAGAGAAGTCGAAAAACGAAAAAATTCAAATCGGAGTATCAAAAAGTTGAAAAATCAAAAAACCTAAGGAATCGAAAAATTGAAAAATCAACAATCAACATCGAGAAATCGCAAAATCAAGCAATCAAAAAATTGAAAAATCGAAAAACTAAGGAATTGAAGAATTAAAAGATCGAAAAATCGAAAAATTGAAAAATCGGCAAGTTGAAAAGTCGAAAAATCGAAAAACTGAGGAATCGAACAGTTGAAAAATTTGAATTTTAAACATCGAAAAATCAAAACATGTAAAAATCGAAAAACTGAAAGTTTGAAAATTCGGCAAACCAAAAAGACGAAAAATTGAATAATCGAAATATTGACAAATCATAGAACTAACATCGAAAAACTGAGAAATCGATAGGTCGAGTAGATGAAAACTGTATAAATCGAAAAATCTAAGAAAAATTGAAAATTCGAGAAATCGAAAAGTCGGAAAACTAAAAAATCGGAAAATCGAAGAATTAAAAATAGAACACTCGAAAGATCGGAAAGTCGAAAAATCGAGTAATTGAAAAATCAAAAAATCGATAAACTGAGGAATTTGAAAATTCGAAAAATGAAAAACTGGAAAATCAAAATATCGAGAAATGAAAAACTCGGAATATCGAATGATCGAAAAGTTGAGGAATCAAATATGTATTGAAAAATCAACAATTTGAAACATGAAAACTCGAAGTATGAAAAATTGGAAAAAACTGAAAAATCGAAACATTGAAAAATCGAAAATAGAAAAATCGAAAAATCAAGAAATCGAAAATCCGAAAATTAAAAAAAAAACTGAGAAATCGGGAAATCGAAAAATCGACCAATCTAAAAATTGAAAAACCGGAAAACTAATGAATCGAAAAATTTAAAAATCCAGAAAAACCGAGATAACGAAAAATCTGGAAACTGAAAAATCAAGAAGTTGAAAAGTCGAAAATTCGAAAAACTGAGGACCCGAACAAATTAAAAATTTGAGTTTAAAACATCGAAAAGTCAAAAAATGGAAAAAAAAGTCGAAAATTCGAAGAAAAGTAAAAAAAAACGTTAAATCAAAAAACTAAAATATCGAAAAATGGTTAAATCGAGAAATGGAATAAAAAATCGAGAAATTGAAAAGTCCAGAAATCGAAAAATCGAAAAATTGAAGTCTGCAAATTGAAAAATCCGAAATTTGGAACGCCGAAAAATCGAAAAATTGAAAAACTGAAGAATGAAAAAATTGAAACATCCAAAAATCAAGAAATCGAAAAATCGAAAAATCTAGAAATCGAAAAATAAAAAATCGACAACTTGAAAAAACTAAAATTTGAAACATTAAATAAGATTAAAAAATTACAAAATATTTACCGACGCGTATCGCCAACCACGTTGGCATAATCAAGACAAAGCAAAACTAAATCGCGTAATTCGGGAAATCGAATAATCAAATAGTCAAGAAATCAAAAATCGGGAAATTGAAAAAGTATGAAGAAATCGATTTATTTTGTATTACGAAACTTAAAAAATCTTGGGGTCCTCTAGCGGCTGTAGCTGTAAAAATCAAATTAAAAAAAAATTGGGTAGTCCCCCGCCTCGGAAGCACGACAAACATCGAACGACTCGATCCCAACCATTGCAGAATTTTTGAGTATTTATTTTTGTAAATAAAACACAATCTTGTGATGATTATTCTTTATTAATAAAATCGATTAACGAATTACACTGGACCTGCGATTACGTGAATCTGTGTAATTGTGGTATTACAGGTTTCTGCGCCACCGTCAAGCTGGGTTACACGTTTCTTAAACAGAGGGCGCTGCTACTGAAAATCGAATGGGACGTTTCTGGTATTTTCTGGTAACTCCTCCAGCATCTGCACTCCTGTTAGACCATTCAAGTTCCGGGCTCGTCAAACTCCTATTTCTGACGATGATTTTTTGTATCATTTGAGTTTGTCGAAAGCAATTGTCATCTTGCACCAAAAACCGTCTCAGTTCAAATGCAAGTCAGTTTTAATTACTTTTTACCTTTGGTTCCGTCATTTTTCAGGATTAGGAAGTCCTCGAGAAATTCTAGAAATCGCAACACGTAACATATTTGTAGTAGGACTTTATCGGCATAAGTTGTGTTTATTTTCCATTGTTGTTGCAACAAGTTTAATGAAAGGTAAATAGTGTGGATAAAATTCGGGCATATATAAAAAAGCAAAAATCATGGAAAGTATTTAAATTTGTGTTGTCAGTGTTCGCAGCTTCGAGGTGAGTACCCACCACGAATGAAGTTATTATTTATTTTCTTAGTATTGTGATTCAGCTCGAATCCACAAGCGTTTTTTTGTTTGAAGGGTATTCACCATCTAAATATACCCAACAACCACCCCATTTACCTGGAATTCTACCTTGATGACCTTCACACTCCTACCTGCTCGTTTCAAGTCAAAGATACTTCCAAATTAACTCCGAATTGTTTGAGAAAACTCAACTCAAGCAATTTAGCTATAAAAAAAGTGCACCGAGTCAATAAACTGTAACTAGTTACTAGTTCTCCTTTTGAAATAGCTAATCGACTCGCTGCGCTCGTGCACACAGTTCAAAGAACTCGCTTTAAAAAAAGTTTCAGCACTACCGGAACCCTCTTCAGGCGAAACCCCACAAAAACGAAACCGATACTTGACCCACTGCAGCATCGCCGCCGAGTTCAAAGACCTTTATCATCTCCATAAATTTCATCCATCGCGCAACCCGACAACAACTTGTTATTCTTATTCTATTTATATTCGTGAATTTTTTCAAAAGTGATAACTTTCCTCGTCCACCGTTCCACTTTCACGTATTAATTGCACACATGCGAACGATCCAGGAGCACGACCTCGCCTCGGCCTTGACCTACGCAACACCCCCACCCCTACGGGCGCGTTTTTCAAATTCCTGTTATTAATATGACACGAGATGAGCGCTCAGACACACTTCCGTTAAGAAAGAGTCTGGAATGCCGAGAAGCGGCTGTTGAACTAGCATTTGAAGACCGTACACAAAAGAGGCAACACGCACTACTTGAGCCTAAAACGGAGAATAATCGGAGATTATTTGGGAATTGTGATAGTGCGGGTCAGAGTGCGTGGAATTCTTCGTGGCGTGGAGTTGGAAAGTGCTTTTTGGGAAAAGTGACGGCTTGGCGGTTTCAGGTGAGAGAAAGGGGAGAGAGTGCGAAAAGTTGCAGCTTTTTGCACGGCTGCGGTGAAATTATCGAGTTTTTCTAAGGCGTTTTTCGCAGCCTTCTACAAGTCGATTGGGACGGCGAGGTCGATCTGATTTTTTATGGCTGTGAGCATCCTGTGGTGTTGCTACTGGGCCTTGATTTTTTGTACGAACCTTGAACCATTGTCACATTTAATCCATATCAGGGTTACCTTAAAGTGGCTACATTTCTATCTCCGCTGCGTAAAAATATATACCTCGAATTTACAAAATTCATAAATAATCACATCAGTGTCACGTGACAAATCGGACTTGACTCCTCCAAAATCTCAAAATTCAAAGCCAACTTATCACACCATAAATCATCTTTTGTTGTTATACCGAACACAAGTTGAAGGACGATTAAAGTATAAGCACGTAAAACTACTTTTTTTTTTTCAGATGTTCGAAACCTTCCTCCATCTAGATCTCACGAGTCTCCTGATCATCCTCATCTTCTTCCTGTTCCTGGAGTACCGCCCGCCATGGTGGTACCGTGCCAACCCCGACTGCAAAAAAGGCATCCCCGGTCCCCTGGCTCTCCCCATAGTGGGTACCACTTGGATGCTGTTCCCGGGAATAAAGGCCGTCAGTCGCCTCCACGAGTACTACCAAGACATGTATAAGAAGTACGGCCCCATTATGAAGGAGGAGTACTGGTGCAACATCCCCATTATAAATCTTTTTGAGAAGAGGGATATCGTCAAGGTCCTGAAAAACGGCAGCAAGTACCCGTTGAGGCCGCCGGTGCAGGCAGTGGCGTACTATAGGAAAAGCAGGCCCGATAGGTACACCAGTACGGGGCTTGTTAACGAACAAGGTGATTTAGTTTAAGCTTCTAAGTTAGAGTGTATCACAAGGCTTGTCACAAATGTCAATCGTAACGTCACTTTTTCGTTTGATTGTGCGTCATAGGAGAGGGAAGTTCTGTCTAAGCTTGAATATTGGGGATCATGTTTTATTTTTTAAGAATATGAAAAAAAATTAACACCCTAATAGTTTTTTTAAGAGTGCCACAAAATCTCGAGGTCCCCTAGTATTTTTTTAATGCCTAATAACCTTATGAGCCCCATGTGGTTTTTTTAATGCCACAGAAGCTCGGAGGGCCCAAGTGTGATTTTTTTAAATTCCAAATAATCTCGAGGGTCCCAAGTAATTTTTTTAATTGCCAAGAATCTCGGGGACTCCAAGTGTAATTATTTACAAATACATATAAAAGAATTATGGCCCGTAGTGTGATATTTTTTAAATGGCACATAATTTCGGGGGACCCTAGTGTGATTTTTTTTAAATGCCAGAGTTTCAGGAGCCCGGAGTATCTTTTTTAAATGCCAAATAATCTCGAGGCTCCTAGTGTGATATTTTTTAAATGGCACAGAATCTCGGGGAACTCAAGTATGTTTTTTTTAAATGCCAAAGAATCTCGGGGTCCCAAATGTGATTTTTTTTAAATGCCAACGAATTTCGGGGGACCCTAGTGTGATTTTTTTTTAATGCGCAAGAATTTCGGGCTCACCAAGTGTAATTATTTTTAAATATAAATGAATCATGGAGGCCCCTAGTATAACAATTTTTAAATGGCACGGAATCCCGGGCAACTCAAGCGTGATTTTTTTTTAAATGCCAAAGAATTTCGGAGGCCCAAAGTGCATTTTTTTTAAATGGCAAAAAATCCTGAAGAGCCTTAGTGTGTTTTTTTTATGTCAAAAAATCTTGGGAGCTCCTAGTGTGACATTTTTTTATATGCCAAGAATCTCGGGGTCCCCAAGTGTGATTTTTTTAAATGTCCAGAAGTCTAGAGGGTGTATTTTTTTTATGCTAAAGGATTTCAAAACCTTCTATTGTGTTTTTTCAATGCCAAAGAATCTGTGGGACCCCAAGTGTGTTTTTTTTAATATCAAAGAATCTTGGAAGCTTCTAGTGTGACATATTTTAAATGGCAAAGAATCTCGGGGAATCCAATTGCAATTTTTTTTTTTATTGCCAGAGAATCTCGGAGTCCCAAGTGTGTTTTTTTTAAATGTCAAAGAATCTCAGGGCACCTAGTGTGACATTTTTAAAAGGTAAAGTATCTCGGGGAACCCAAGTGTGATTTTTTTAAAAGCTAAAGAATCGCAGGGTCCCAAATGTCCTTTTTTTGACAAGAAATCTCGGGGGCTCCTAGTGTGACATTTTTTAAATGGTAAATAATCTCGGGGGCCCCCAAGTGTGATTTTTTTTTAAATGTCAAAAAATCTCGGGGGCTTAGAATGCAAAATTATTTTAAATGAAAAAAGAATTTCGAGGGACCCAAGTGTGTTTTTTGAATGTCCAAGGAATCCAAGTGTGTTTTTTTTTAAATGCCAAAGAATCTAGGAGTTCCCAAGTGTGATTATTTTTTTAAATGTCAAAGAATCTCGGGGGCTTAGAGTGCAAAATTATTTTAAATGAAAAAAGAATTTCGGGGGAGCCAAGTGTGATTTTTTTAAATGTCAAAGAAGCTCGGAGGCTTTGAGTGCATTTTTTTTTTTATGAAAAAAGAATCTCAAAGGGCCCAGGTGTATTTTTTTTAAATGCTCAACAGTCTCCATAACCCAGAGTGTTTTTTTTTTAAATGCCAAAAAATCTCAAGGGCTTCTAGTGTGAGAATTTTAAATGGCAAAGAATCTCGGGGAACCCAAGTCTATTTTTTTTAAATTCCAAAGAATCTCGAGTTCCCCAAGTGTAATTTTCTTTTAAATGTCAAAGAATCTCGGAGAACCTAAGTGTGATTTTTTTAAATGTCAAAGAATCTCGGGGGTCTAGAGCGCAAAATTATTTTACTTAAGTGAAAAAAGAATCTCGGGGAGCCCAAGTGTGATTTTTTTAAAAGCTAAAGAATCTCAGGGTCTCTAAATGTCCTTTTTTTTAATGTCAAGAAATCTCGGGGGCCCCTAGTATGGCATTTTTTCAATGGTAAAGAATCTCTGGGGCTCCTAGTGTGATTTTGTTTAAATGTCAAAGAATCTCGGGGGACCCAAGTGTGTTTTTTAAATGCCCAAGTAACCCTAGTGTGATTTTTTTAAATGCCAAAGAATCTCGGAGTTCCCAAGTGTGATTATTTTTGTAAATGTCAAAGAATCTCGGGGGCCTCGAGTGCATTTTTTTATGAAAAAAGAATCTCGGAGGGCCCAGGTGTATTTTTTTTAAATGCTGAACAGTCTCCCTAACCCAGAGTGTAGTGTTTTTTTAAATGCCAAAAAATCTCAAGGGCTTCTTGTGTGGGAATTTTAAATGTCAAAGAATCTCGGAGAACCCAAGTGTAATTTTTTTAAATGCCAAAGAATCTCGGGGGCCTTAAGTGTAATTTCCTTCTAAATGTAAAAGAATCTCGGGGGCCCTAAGTGTAATTTCCTTCTAAATGTAAAAGAATCTCGGGGGCCCTTAGTGTAACATTTTTTAAATGGTAAAGAATCTCTGGGGCTCCTAGTGTGATTTTTTTTAAATGTCAAAGAATCTCGGGGGCCTCGAGTGCATTTTTTTATGAAAAAAAGAATCTCGGAGGGTCCAGGTGTATTTTTTTTTTTAAATGCTGAACAGTCTCCATAACCCAGAGTGTTTTTTTTAAATGCCAAAAAATCTCAAGGGCTTCTAGTGTCGAAGTTTTAAATGTCAAAGAATCTCGGAGAACCCAAGTGTAATTTTTTTAAATGCCAAAGAATCTCGGGGGCCCTAAGTGTAATTTGCTTCTAAATGTAAAATAATCTCGGGGGCCCCTAGTGTAACATTTTTTTAAATGGTAAAGAATCTCTGGGGCTCCTAGTGTGATTTTTTTTAAATGTCAAAGAATCTCGGGGGACCCAAGTGTGTTTTTTAAATGCCCAAGGAACCCTAATGTGATTTTTTTAAATGCCAAAGAATCTCGGAGTTCCCAATTGTGATTATTTTTGTAAATGTCAAAGAATCTCGGGGGCCTCGAGTGCATTTTTTTTTATGAAAAAAGAATCTCGGAGGGCCCAGGTGTATTTTTTTTTAAATGCTGAACAGTCTCCATAACCCAGAGTGTTTTTTTTAAATGCCAAAAAATCTCAAGGGCTTCTAGTGTGGGAATTTTAAATGTCAAAGAATCTCGGAGAACCCAAGTGTAATTTTTTTAAATGCCAAAGAATCTCGGGGGCCCTAAGTGTAATTTCCTTCTAAATGTAAAAGAATCTCGGGGGCCCCTAGTGTAACATTTTTTAAATGGTAAAGAATCTCTGGGGCTCCTAGTGTGATTTTTTTTAAATGTCAAAGAATCTCGGGGGACCCAAGTGTGTTTTTTAAATGCCTAAGGAACCCTAATGTGATTTTTTTAAATGCCAAAGAATCTCGGAGTTCGCAAGTGTGATTATTTTTGTAAATGTCAAAGAATCTCGGGGGCCTCGAGTGCATTTTTTTTTATGAAAAAAGAATCTCGGAGGGCCCAGGTGTATTTTTTTTTAAATGCTCAAGTCTCCATAACCCCGGGTGTTTTTTTTAAGTCAAAGAATCTCAAGGGCTTTGCAAGTGTGATTTTCTTTTAAATGTCAAAGAATCTCGGAGAACCCAAGTGTGATTTTTTTAATGCCAAAGAATCTCGGAGTTCCCAAGTGTGATTATTTTTAAAAAACAAAGAATCTCGGGGGCGTCGAGTGCATTTTTTTTTAATGAAACAAGAATCTCGTAGGACCCAAGTGTGTTTTTTTTTAAATGCCCAAGAGTCTCGATGATCCAGAGTGTTTTTTTTTAATGCCAAAGAATGTCAAGGGTTCTAGTGTGACATTTTTGAATGGGAAAGAATCTCGGGGGACCCAAGTGTGACTTTTTTAATTGCCAAAGTATCCCGGGGTCCCCAAGTGTGATTTTTTTTAAATGCCAACGAATTTCGGGGGACCCAAGTCTGTTTTTTAAATGCTCAATGAACCCTAGTGTGATTTTTTTAAATGCCAAAGAATCTCGGAGTTCCCAAGTGTTATTATTTTTTTAAATGTCAAAGAATCTCGGAGTTCCCAAGTGTTATTATTTTTTTAAATGTCAAAGAATCTCGGGGGCCTCGAGTGCATTTTTTTTTATGAAAAAGAATCTCGAAGGGCCCAAGTGTATTTATTTTAAATGCTCAACAGTCTCGATAACCCAGGGTGTTTTTTTTAAGTCAAAGAATCTCAAGGGCTTCTAGTGTGAGAATTTTAGATGACAAAGAATCTTGGGGAACCCAAGGGTGATTTTTTTAAATGCCAAAGAATCTCGAGCTCCCCAAGTGTGATTTTCTTTTAAATGTCAAATTATCTCGGAGGTCTAGAGCGCAAAATTATTTTACTTAAGTGAAAAAAGAATTTCGGGAGACCCAAGTGTGATTTTTTTAAATGCCAAAGAATCTCGGAGTTCCCAAGTGTGACTATTTTTTTAATGTCAAAGAATCTCGGGGGACCTGACTGCATTTTTTTTCAATGCCAAAGGATCTATTTGGACCCTAGTGTGATTTATTTAAATGCCAAAAAATCTCAGAAACTCCGAGTGTAGTTTTTTAAATGCCAAAGAATCTCGGGCGCCCCAATTGTATTTTTTTTTAATATCAAAAAATCTTGGGGGCTCCATTTGTTACATTTTTTTGAATGCCAAAAAAGCTCGGGGCTTCCTAGTGTGACAGTTTTTAAATGCCAAAGAATATCGGGAAACCTTAGAGTGATTTTTTTAGATGCCAAAGAATCTGGGAGTCCCCAAGTGTGATTATTTTTAAAAAACAAAGGATCTCGGGGGCCTCGAGTGTATTTTTTTTTTTAATGAAGCAAGAATCTCGCACGAGCCAAGTGTGTTTTTTTAATGCCAAATAATCTCAAGGGCTCCTAGTGTGACATTTTTAAATGGGAAAGAATCTCGGAGTTCCCAAAGTGTGATAATTTTTTTAAATGTCAAAGAATGTCGGGGGACCTGACTGCATTTTTTTTTAATACCAAAGGATCTAGTTGGATCCTAGTGTGATTTATTTAAATACCAAAAAATCTCAGAAACTACGAGTGTGGTTTTTTAAATGTCTCGGACGCCCCAATTGTATTTTTTTTTTAATATCAAAAAATCTTGGGGGCTCCATTTGTTACATTTTTTAAATGCCAAAGAATATCGGGAAACCTTAGAGTGATTTATTTAGATGCCAAAGAGTCTGGGAGTCCCCAAGTGTGATTATTTTTAAAAGAGGAAAAAATCTCGGGGGCCTCGAGTGTATTTTTTTTTAATGAAACAAGAATCTCGCAGGACCCAAGTGTGTGTTTTTTTTTTAATGCCAAACAATCTCAAGGGCTCCTAGTGTGACATTTTTTTATGGGAAAGAATCTCGGGGGACCCAAGTGTGATTTTTTTAATTGCCAAAGTATCTGGGAGTCCCCAAGTATGATTATCTTTTAAATGTCGAGGAATATCGGGGGCTCCTAGTGTAACATTTTTTAAATGGCAAAGAATGTCGGAGACCTAAGTGTGTTTTTTTAATACCAAAGAATCTCCGGGAACCCAAGTGTGATTTTTTTAAATGCCAAAGAATCTCAGAAGCCCCGAGTGTTTTCTTTTGTGCTAAAAATTCTCCGGGGCCCCAAATGCGACTTTATAAATGCCAAAGAATCTCGGGGAAATCTAGGATGTTTCCTTAAATGCCAAAGAATCTCGGGAGTCCAAGTGTGATTTATTTTAAATGCAAAAGAATCTCGGGGACCCCAAGTCTGATTTTTTTTTTTTATGACAAAAAAAGTCAGGAGCTCCTAGTGTGATTATTTTTAACTATAAAAGAATCATGGAGTGTGACGTTTTTTAAATGGCAGAGAATCTCTGGGAACTCAAGTATGATTTATTTTAAATGTCAAAGAATCTCGGGGGCCGGGAGTGTTTTTTTTAAATGCCCAAAAAATCTCGAGGGCTCCTAGTGTGACATTTTTTAAATCCCAAACAATCTCGGGGAACCGTGGTGTCATTTTTTTAAATGTTAAAAAATCTCGGGGGTCTCGAGTGCAACTTTTTTTAACTGAAAAACGAATCTCAGGGGATCCAAAAGCCCCTCTTTTTTAAGAATTTGAAAGACAAAAAATGCAGTGACAGATGTTCCAAAGGCAACTTAATACACGATGTTTACAATCACCCCGTATATACCACGCAAGGTGAATGATTCACCTTGAGAAAACCGACGTGTCTGGATTAGAAACACAGAAGTGTTGAGGTGATGTTTATTTTCTTGAGTCTCGTCAGACAGTGCATGTTTATGACAAAAACACAATTAAAACGTGGAAGTTTACTAAAACCCTCACATCGAATAATTATTTTTGTGCGTAAAACTACTGTTTTTTCAGGCGAAGCCTGGCACCACCTCCGCACCACCCTCACCCCCGTCTTCACCAGCCCCAAAACCATCTCCTCCTTCCTGCCGTCCGTGCGCGAGATCGCCGACGACTGGTGCAACCTGCTCAAGCAATCCCGCGACAGCTCCGGCCTGGTCTCCAACCTAGACGACATCGCCGACCGCCTAGGCCTCGAAATCACGTGCGCTTTGATCCTCGGCCGCCGAATGGGCTTCCTGCTGCCGGGCGGCGAATCCGACGTGGGTAGAAACCTGGCCGAGGCCGTGCGCCAGCACTTCATCGCCACCAGAGACACCCACTACGGGATCCCGTTCTGGAGGGTTTTACCGACCTCGTGCTACAACCGGCTGGTCAAGAGCGAAGAGGCCATCTACGACCTGGCGATGGAACTCATCAAGTCCGCGAATGACAGTACCAAAGACAGTGAGGTCTTTCAAGCCATCCTCAAGGCTGATCTCGACGAGAAAGAGAAGACTGCTGCTATTATAGATTTTATGTCGGCGGGGATTCACACCCTGAAGAATAGTTTGTTGTTTTTGTTGTATTTGGTGGGGAGGGATTCGGACTTGCAGAGGAGGATCATGGATGACCCGAGATACTCCAAGGCTTGCATGACTGAGTGTTTCCGGCTGTGCCCCACTGCCAACTGTCTAGCTCGGATTCTAGATGAAGAAATGGAGCTCGGGGGGTATCGGGTGCCGGCCGGGACTCCCGTCGTCTGTCATTTCGGCATCGCCTGCCGCGACGAACGAAATTTCAAAGACGCAGCCACTTTTAAGCCAGAACGGTGGCTGGGGGAAGAAACCAATCACAACGCTCCGTTTTTGTTGATTCCGTTCGGCGTCGGTCGCAGAGTGTGCCCTGGAAAACGACTCATCGAGCACATTTTGCCGGTACTGCTCCAGCACACCGTCAGTAGTTTTGAGTTTGTGGCTCAAAAGGAGCTCGAGATCCAGTACGAGTTTATTTTAGCCCCGAAAGGGAAAACGGCTATGGTTTTTAGAGATAGGGTTTGATAAGTACAAAGTACCAATGTACCTTTTTTCGTGGTAAGTGGCTGTGTTTGAGCGTCTGATTGTGTTCAACTTTTCACGTTTTATCAATAAAGTTTTTTAAATTTAATAAAAGGGTTTATTTTTGAGTTAGTATCCATATTTTTCGTTCAGGGCTGTTCTTCCGTCGCCCGTTTGACCAGTAGGGGGCACCCACATGTTGTAGTCTTCTTTACTGGCATCTTCCTCGTAGCCTTTTCTTTTCTCACTTTCAGCCCGCTCTTGCTTCTGTTGTATCCTCCTTTGATTCTTCCTTCGTCGCTTCGCGATGGCTTCAGTTTCGTCTTTCGTCTCGCGAGCTTCTTTTTCCTCTTGCGTTACCATTTTCGTCGGCAGTGTTTCTTTTTTAGTCTCTACTTCTTCCTCTTCTTCTTCTTCTTCTTCCTCGTCTTCGTTGTTTGCGTGCTGTTCTTCCACGCTTTGTTTATTGACAGACAATTGAACTTTAATTTTCTTGCGTTTGCCGAACACCGGTAATGCCTTATTTTCCACCTGGAGACTCTTAACACTGGTAGTTGCGTATTCAGCCACCAGAGGCGGTAAAGACGCAGGCCTTGCAATATTCACCAACTTAATAACATTGGCATGTTCTTGCTTAAGCTTCACCAGATCGGCTTTAAGTTTATTCACGGTTTGTTTGCTCGGTTTGGACTGCTTCAGCTCCATCATGAACGAATCCAGAGGATCGACTTCAGCAGAAGACGACGCATCCAAAGAAGCTAACTTTCGTTGCGAATCGGCAATCTCCGCTTCGAGTTTCCTGATCCCCGAACTTATACTCTTCTCTTTTTCCATCTGTAACAACGACGACGTCGTCAAAGAAATTTACTTTACAAAACTACGTACCAAACTCTCGTAAGTCTCCGCCTTTTGCGGCACTTTCGCACTCATCCTCTTCTCCCTCTTCTTTTCTACAGTTCCAGTCCGATCCAGAAACGTGTCGTCGTCGCTGTCATAAAAGTCGTTTTCTTCCCAATTCTTCGGCTTCCGCTTCTTCGACTCTGAAACCACCCATGTACAATCGCACGCAAATGTTTTGAGCCTATGGGCGGATCGTTTTTGCCTGCCCTCACCGAAGCAGAATTTGTAGGTAGGCTCAAACTACAACGAAATTTACATTTGGTAAGAAATATTTATGGCTCACACCAGTTCTCTCGAATTTGTCGGAGAAGATTTAGCAGGTAGTTGTTCCCATAAAATAATGGTCACTTTCGTTCGTGAGTAACGATGGTCCGGACAAGAATTATTTTGCTTTATAACATCTTTCGACCAATTGTTCCGTATAAAAAATTTCATCGCTTTTTCAAATAAAATACTCTTAAAAAAAAACGATATTGTCGTTGAGTGGCATGTAACTGGCATAATAATAAAAACGTGCCATTTTTGTTAACTGATATTTTTTTCATAAATGTCGCAAATTTATTAAATTTGTCTAATCATCCCCACCAATAATGTGATGACGTCAATTCAGATTTATACATAGGAAATGGGTTTTAAATTGTATACAGTAACATAGTCCTACACATGTAGTTTATGACTCCGTGTTGAGTTTTTATTATGTTTTGGAAAAAAAATCAAAATTATGAAACAATATTTTGCAATTTAATTTTGAATTTGCAAAATCGAATAATTTGAAATCTTGCCGATGTTTTCAAGTCATGATAGACATGATTTAATTAAAATATATTTGCTTATCCCCTCTAAAAAATTTATGACGTCACCTCAAAATTTTGCAGAATAAATCCTATCTTAAATGTATAAAATATGATGAGTTTTTATACTTGTGATTTATCACTGCATTAATATTTTTTAGATTTGGTTATATAGGGTGTCTCAAAAAAGTTAATGACTGAGTCAATTTATTTTATTGAAGAAATCAAGAATAGCAAAACTGAATACTTTGAAATATTGCAGATGTTTTGAAGTTTTTGTAAGCATGGTAACTTTTTTGATTAATCAAATATGCGCAAAATCAAAAATCAGAAAAACTGAAATTCACTAATGCAAAAAACAGAAAATCGAAACATACAAATCGTAAAAATCGAAAATCTAAAAATGGCTAATCAAACAATCGAAAATTCAATGAATCAAATACCTAGGTCGATCGAAAAGTGGAAATTCACAAACGAAAATTGAAAAACGGGAAAACCAAAAAATCGAAGAGTCAAAAATTTGTAGTATTGAAAATTAAAAAAATCAAAAACAAAAATAAAAAAAATCGGAAATTAAAATAATCAAAATATATAAAGTAGAAAAAAATTGCAAAGCCTAAAAACTGAAACGAACAGAAAATCTAAAAAGCAAAAAATTGGAAAAACAAAAATTCGAAAAATCTAAAATCGAAAAAGTGGAAAATCGAAAATCTGAATAAAGAAACTTGGAAATTCTGAAAATTGGAAAATCGAAAACCAAAAAATCGGGAAGTAACAAAATTGAAGTCCAACAGTTGAGAATAGAAAAACTGAAAAACCGAAAATTCTAAAAATCGACAATGGACAAATTGAAAATCGCAAAATGTTGAACAATTGAACATAGAAAAATCGATGGATTGAAAAATCGAAAATTCGACTACTCAAATTTTCTAAAAATCGAAAAATCATAAAACTGAAAAATCCAAAATTCTAATGATCGAAAGTCTGAAAACTGAAAATCGAAAATTCTGAAAAGCGGAAAATAGAATATCGAAAAATTTAAAAGAAAGAAAATTGAAGTCTAAAAACCGAAGAATGGAAAAATTAAAAATCAAAAATTCGAAAAATCAAAACCGAAGAATTCAAAGATTTAAAAAGAAAATCGAAAAATCAAAAATCTGAAAATTGAAACTCGAAAATATGAAAAATCGAAAAGTAAAAAAATTGAAGTCTAAAAGCTGAAAAATGGAAAACTGAACAATCGAAAATTCATTGAATCTAATGCGTAGGTCGATCGAAAAACTGGAAATTCACAAATCTGAAAAATCGAAAATTTGCAAGATTGAAAAACCGAGAATTGAAAAATCAAAAAACCGAAAAATGGAAAAATCAAAAATCGAAAAATAGGAAAACCGAAAATTCGAAAATTCATAATATTGAAAACTCTAAAAGTCGACAATTCAAAAATCAAAAAATTGGAAAGTAAAATAATCGAAAAATCGAAGAGTAAACAAATTGCAAAGCCTAAAAACTGACGAACAGAAAAATCGAAAAATCGTAAAATCAAAAACTGGAAAATCGAAAACTGGAAATTGAAAAATCGAAGATTGGAAAATCGAAAAATCGAAAATCGGAATATCGAGAATCGACAAATTAAAAAATTAAAAAATCGGAAATCGAAAAATGAAAAAAAAACGAAAATTCAAAAATCGAATAATCCGAAACTAAAATAATAGAAAAGTGGAAAAGTAAAAATTGCAAAGTCTCAAAACTGAGGAACAGAAAAATCGAAAAATATCTAAAAATGGAAAATCGAAAAATCGAAAATCGGAAAATGGAAAAACCGAAAAATCGAAAATCGAAAACTCGAAAAATCGAAAATTCGATTAAACAAATACTCGAAAAAACGAAAAGTAAAAAAATTGCAAGGCCTAAAAATTGAAAAATCAAAAAAATCGGAAAAATGAAAATCGAAAAAACGACGATCGAAAAAAAATAAAAAAATTGAAAAGTGGAAAATCGGAAAAACGGACACAAATCCACAAATCTGAAAAATCGAAAATCAAAATACGAAAAATTAAAAAACCGAAAAATTGAAAAATCCCAAATCGAAAAATGGAAAAACCGAAAATTCAAAAATCAAACTATCGGAAAGTAAAATAATCGAAAAATGGAAAAATAAAACAAATTGCAGAACCATGAAAACTGAAACAAACAGAAAAATCGAAAAACCACAAAAGCGGAAAAACGAAAATCGAAAAATCGTAAAATCAGAAAATGGAAAATCGAATAATCGAAAGTTGAAAAATCGATGGTCGAGAAATAAAACAACCGAAATATCCAAAAATTTAATGATTAATGGAAAATCGAAAAATCGAGAATAGAAGAATTAAAAACGTAAAATCGAGAATTGAAAAATCAAAAAAATCGGAAAGTAAAATATAATCGAAAAATGCAAAAAAATTGCAAAATCTAAAAACTGACGAACAGAAAAATCCAGAAATCTAAAAATGGAAAGACAAAAAATCGAAAATTGAAAGAATGGCAAATCAAAAAATCGAAACATCGAAAAATCAAAAAACGAAAAATTAAAAAATCGAAAAACGAAAAATCTAAAAACTCGAAAATTCTAAATACCGCAAATTTGAACAATCAGAAAATTGGAAAGTAATAAAATCGAAAAGTTGATAGAAAAATTGAAACTGAAAAATCTAATTCGATGAAATGGTTGGTCGAAAAAACGAAAAATCGAAAATCGAAGTGATCTTTTTTTGAGACAGCCTGTATAAGTAAATCTAAAAAATATTACTGCAATGATAAATCACAGGTATAGACTCATCATATCAAATTTTACGATGACGTCACGCATTTTTTGGCGAAGATAAGCAAATATATTTTGATCGTGGCTTTGAAAGTATTCTTCGACTTTCGTTCCATTTCAAAATTTACTCTTTGTATATTTCAGTGGTCACAACGAGTTCACTAACTACGCTGAAGTACCTAAAATTAGTGTGATTTTGAGCATATTCTCGATGTTATTAGAGCAGGACAGGTTTTTTTTTTCTAACTAATTGACAAGATTTCAAAGTATTCAGTTTTGCAATTCTTGATTTCTTCAATAAAATAAATTGACTCAGTCATTATTTTTTTTGAGTCACCCTGTATGTATAAACAAATCCGAAAAATATTAATGGAATGGTAAATCACAAGTATAGACTCATCATATTCTGAACATTTTAGATAGGGTATTTATAAAATTAAAACTAATTCAGAATAAGAATTTGGTCAACACGTAAATTTCGTTGTAGTTTGAGCCTACCTACAAATTCCGCCCTTGGACGATTTGGACCGCCTCCTTCGGTGACGATCGGCAAAAATGATCCGCCCATAGGCTCAAAACATTTGCGTGCGATTGTACCACGAAAACCACCCCAATACCCACCCCCACTCACCATGAGTGGCTTGCCGCAGCAATCCGTGCCTATCCAGAATTCGGCACGCCTCCAACGCACACTGAATCACCGCCTCTTTCTTCTTCCCCTTGTGAAACACCTCCGCGAAGATCGGTCGCCCCACTTCGTCGTCCACCGGAAGCTCCACCTTACAAACGAACTGACCAATCCCCTGCTCCGTGCAGTCGTACTCGAGCTCCAACCCCTCCCTCTCGAAGAAACCGCGCAACGCCTTCTTCGGGTTCTCGAGGTAGAGGTCTTCGTTGTTGGTTTGGGCGAAGGGGTTTTCGGTCAAGTCGGTCTCCTCGTCGGCGTCTTCGCCTGAAGATTGGTTTAATTTTGATTGAATTTGGCGCGCGATTTGAATTCTAGCGCTTACCCAATCCCCAGTCGATTCCTCTGTCTTCGTCTCTTTTTCGTCGTTCTTCTTCTTTTGCTTTGTCGAGTTGGCGCTGCAGCAGTTCTTGCTCTCGTTTTTGTTTTAGTTCGGTGACTGTTAGTGGGGATTCTTCTTCGGTGTCTTCGTCGGGGCCGGTGAGAATGTAGGTGCGGGTGCTGCAGCCGAGTTTTAGCATGTGGCCAACCTTAAAAAAATATTTTTTTTGGTTTTATAATTTTTTGTTTTTGAATTTTTTTTCTTGTTTTTTCAATTTTTTCGATTTCCAATTTTATCAGTTTTTTTATTTTTTTTTTTGTTTCTTCAAATTTACATGCAACTCGTTTAATTTTTCACTTTTAAATGTTTCAGTTCTTCGATTTTTCAACTTTTCATTTTTCGTTTCGGTTTTTTATTTTCTGTTTATATATTTTTCGGATTTTCAATGCCCTGATTGGTTTTATACTTTTTCTTTTTTGCAATGTCGCTATGCAATTTTTCTAGTTCTCATTTTAAATATGTAATAAAGATAAATTTTAAAATTTTTGATTTTTTCAATTGTACGATTTTTGAATTTTTTCATTTTTCAATTATTGGGTTTAAACAAATTTTTATTTATTCGATGTTTCAATTTTTCAGTTCTTCAATTTTTCATTTCTTCAAATTTTCGAAATGCAATTTTTGGTTTGTTTTTTTTATTTTCATTTTTAAATCTTTCAGTTTTCGATTTTTCAATTTTTCAGTTCTTCAATTTTTCATTTCTTCAAAGTTTCGATTTCGTTTTTTATTTTCATTTTTACAAATTTCCGATTTTTCAACATTCCGATTTTATAATTTTTTTATTTTTCACGTTCGATTTCCCGTTTATTTAATTTTTCGATTTACAATTTTTCATTTATTTTTTATTTCTTCAATTTTACGACATGCAACTCTTCGATTTTTCATTTTTAAATTTTTCTGTTTTTCGATTTTCCAACTTTTGGGTGTTCCAATTTTTAAATTTTGCAATTTTTCGATTTTTCAATTTTTATCTCAATTTTTCGTTTCGGTTTGTTATTTTCTTTATTTTTAAACTTTTTAGTTTTTCAATGCTCTCATTGATTTTATAATTTTTCTTTTTTTCAATAATGTAAATTTTTCAGTTCTTCAATTTTCATTTCTTCAAATTTTCGAATTGCAATTTTTCGATCCGTTTTTTATTTTTTTCATCTTTACAATTTTCCGATTTTTCAACGTTCCAATTTTATAACTTTTCGAATCAAAAAAATGGAAAATTTGCAAAATTGAAAAATCAAAAATGAAAAAGCGAAAAACTATAAATGAAAACTTTGGAAAATCTAAAAACTGGAAATCGAGAAGTTCGAAAAAAAATCAAGAAATGAAAAATTGAAAAATCGAAAGATTGAAATTGAGAAACTTAAAAATCGAATAAGTGCAATCGAAAATTAGAGTAATAGGAAAATCGGATAATTGAAAATCGGATAATTGAAAATCCAAAAATTTAAAAATTTAAAAATTAGAAAATGAGGAATTGAAAATTTGAAAAATTGAATAAACAAAAAATGATAAATTCGAAAGAAACATTGAAAGAACAACGGAAATGAAAAAACCAAAAATTGTGATATAAAACCGAGGAAATGAAAATTAAAAAATCGGAAAAATACAAAACAAATAAAAATCAAAAACTTGAAAAACTGAGAAAACAAAAAATTGAAAAATCTAAAAATTAAAAATTTAATGTCGAAAAATTGCAAATGAAAATTGAAGTAACAAAAAATTGAAAAATTTGGAAGTTGAAAAAACGAGAAATTATGAAACCGAAACTTTGAAAAATGAAAAAATTGAAATAATAAAAAATTGTGATACCAAAAAGATTATTTTTGTCCAACAGAAATCCGGACAGACGGTAGATAGACAGACAGAAACGGGAGACCTATTTTTTCGTACTCTATAATAGATCATTTTTTATTTTTATTTATTTATTTAAATGAAAATTACTGAGTGGGGGATATACATATCCTTTAAGCACTCATTTGATTTTATAACCTTTTTTTTTCAATGATGTGAATTTTTTCAATTTTTTTAATTTTTCAATTTGTAATGTTTTGATTTTCAATTTTTCGTTTTTTCAATGTTTGCTTTGCAATTTTTCTAATTTTCATTATAAATAAATATGTAATAACGATAATTTTTAAAATTTTTCACTTTTTCCATTTTACGATTTTTTAATTTGTCAGTTCAATTTTTCATTTCTTCAAATTTTCGAATTGCAATTTTTGGTTTCGTTTTTTTATTTCCACTTTTACAATTTTTCCATTTTTCAACGTTCCGATTTTATAATTTTTTGATTTTTTAAGTTCAGTTTTTCATTTCTTTAATTATTCGATTTGCAATTTTTCAGTTTTTTTATTTTTTCAATTTTACGACATCCAATTCCTCGATTTTTCATTTTTAAATTTTTCAGTTTCTACATTTTTCAACTTTTGAATTTTTCAATTTTTTGATTTTGCAATTTTTCGATTTTTGAATTTTTTATTGCTTCAGTGTTTCGTTTTGCAAATTTTCATTTCGTATTTTTATTTTCTTTATTTTTAAATTTTTCGGTTTTCAAATTGATTTTATAATTTTTTTTTTTTCTTTCAATGTAAAATATTTCAATTTTTAGATTTTTCAATTTGCAATGTTTTGGTTTTCAATTTTTCGTTTTTTCAATGTCTGCTTTGTAATTTTTCTAGTTTTCATTTTAAATTTTATAATTTTTGATTTTTCATGTTCATTTTTTTTTCTTGAATTTTTTTGATTTTTCCATTTTTTTGTTTTGTTTTTTTTTTCATTCTTAAATTTTCCAGTTTTTCGATTTTCCAACATCTGGATGTTTCAATTTTTAAATCTTGCAATTTTTCGTTTTGGTTTTTAATTTTCTTTATTTTTAAATTTTTCTATTTTTCTTTCAATGTTACAGTTTCTCAACTTTACAGCTTTGACGATTCTATAATTTTTCGATTTCACAATTTTTGGGTTTTCCAATTTTTAGATTCGATTCCTTTTTTTTCTTGTTTCCAATTTTTTGATTCATAAATTTTTTTCGATTTTTAAGTTTGTCGATTCATTTTTCAATGTTTCAATTTTTCATTCTTCAGTTCTTCGATTTACAATTTTTTGATTTTCCAATTCTTCGAATTCTCAGTTTTTCGTTTTTTCAATTTTTCGATTTCTAGTTTTTCAATTTTTAATTTTTCTTTTTCTCAATGTAAAATTTTTCAATTTTTGAATTTTTCAATTTGGAATGTTTTGGTTTTCAATTTTTCGTTTTTTTTAGTTTTCATTTTAAATCTGTAATAATAATTTAAAAAAATCACTTTTTCAATTTTCCAGTTCTTCAATTTTTCATTTGTTCAAATTTTCGAATTGCAATTTTTCGTTTCGTTTTTTTTTCCTTCATTTTTACAATTTTTCAATTTTATAATTTTTTATTTTTCAATTTCAGTTTTTCGATTCGCAATTTTTCAGTTTTCCATTTGTCTTTTGTTCCTTGATTTTTACAAATTTCGGAATTTTCAATTTTTGGGTTTTCCAATTTCTCGATTCGATTCGTTTTTTCTTGTTTCCAATTTTTTTTATTCATTAATTTTTGTTTGTCGATTTTTAGTTTTTTAATGTTTCAATTTTTGTTTTCTAAAATTGTAAAACTGAACAATCAAAAATTAAAAAACGAAAAATTATAAAAGAAAACTTTGGGAAATCTAAAAACTGGAAATCGAAAACTTGATGAAACAAAAATTTGCAAAATTAAAAAACGAAATATACATTATATATTGTACAATCGAAAAAAAAAACGAAATATACATTGTAAAATCGAAAAACTGAAAATTAAGTAATAGGAAATAACTGGAAATCCAAAAATTTGCAAATTGAAAATTTTAAAAACTGGAAAAATCAAAGACTGAAAATTTGAAAAATTGAATAAACCAAAAATTGAAAAAATTTAAAATCGAGAAGTTGAAAAAATGAAAAATTCAGAAACCAAAACTACAAAAAATGGAAACATTAAAAAACTAAAGAAAATGAAAAACTGTGATAGCAAGAATTCCAAACAGACAGACAAACGGAAACCGAGGACCTATTTCACGTACTCTTGGGGTCATGAAACGTCGACAAAACATAAAAGTAGCCAATCGTCCAATGGACACTTACACTCAATAAGAAAAAATATTAAAATAGGACGTACGTTCATTCTGACGTAACTCCTGGGTTTAATCCGCCTCTTGTTCAAAAACGTACCATGTGTGCTCTCTAAATCATAAATGTAGAAACCTGTTTTATCAGCAGTTTCGGCTTTCCGGTATTGTAACACCGCATGGTACCTTGATATCGTTGGGTGTTGCATACAAACATCGCAATTGGTTAAACGTCCGAACACCCAAAATGCTTTTTCCATTACATTTATAGTCTCTATAATGGCGCCACTTTTTAAAACTTCTAAATTATATTCGTGAGACGCCTGTGGTAATGCGGACCACGGGGGCTCTTCATAGGGCAACGATCTGTTTTCTGGTGGCTTTGGGGTGTCTGGTTCCACTATGGTGATATCAGGGGGGGCTTCCACGGGCTCAGGAATCGTCAAAGGGGGCGCCGGAGTTTTCAGTTTCTTGGGCAACTTTCCGATTTTACCCACTAGCATTGGTTTTTTGAACGGCGACTCCTTCTTTTCGTCTTTTGGGGCTTCCGTGTCTTCTGCGTCCATTGCGTCTTCTAAAAAATGGGGTTATTTAAAAAAAGTCACAAAGAGCGAGTTGTGCTTACAAGTTGTTACGATTGATGTGGAAATGTGTTTTTGTGCTTTTTTACACCCGTTTGCTTGCAAGAAACGTAAATAAATAGGTATAACCTCACTTTATAATTTTATTTCTTCTGGGGAGTTAAAATGAGTCATGTTGGTGTCCCCGCTGATGTTTGTTTCTGATTGGTCCGTGCATCCTATCAACATAACCTTACTTTTTTGTTGTAAATTGTGTTAATATTTTTCAAAAATGGAATGAAAAAAGGTTGCCCCAGGTTTTAAATTAGTGAAAAAGTGACTTTTTTGGTGTGTTCGGACGAAATCGAGGTTTTATTAACTCAAAAACAATTAGTGGTTTTAAGGAACTCATTTAAGTTTGTTGTTTTAGGGGGCCCTAGGGTTGCTCGAGTATTGAAGGTATGGTACGTAATAACGCAAACAAATTAATTTTGGCAGCTGTGCTTTAAATTCAGATAAGACAACTGGTTATTGGTGAGGGTAATGTTGGTTTCGTTTTTTGGTGTATTATTGGTTGCCTACACGATGCTAATTTTAGTTGTAATTTTTTCCCGTTTTTAAATATTTGTCTCGAGTTCAACGAATCTTGGATTTTAGCACTTTCAGAATATTAATTTGTGCGTTATTAATAAATATTTCGAAAAAATACTCATCCATTTACGAATTATTTCTGTTCGTTTTGCATATTTGTGGAAAGATTTGTACTTATTTATGGTCAGAATTATTGTATATTAGATAATTGAAACCTTGAATAATAAGTAAATGTTTTTTCTAGCACGTGATGGCCACTCATGATGCTCACCGGAACGTTTTTTATTGGACTTAAGTTCCACAAATAAAATGTAAAAGTGTTTAAATTAATCACTGCGAAGTCAAAGTATTTTTTTCTAATAAAAGATCTTGATTTTAAAAGACTCCTCCATTGTCTGCGTCTTTAGCACCCCCCTCCACTCCCAACGCAAATTACCGGTTAGCGCAAAACTCGTAAGATCAACGACCTTCCACAAATTAGATGCTAAATATAAATCGTGGCGCCATTTTGCGGCCTTCATTTCCCGCCCTGTCAAAAATTCCGGAAAAGCTCGTTTCTTTCTCACGCATCGAAGTCGTTAATTGTTTCAGCAGAAGCCCGCGATCTCGAGGTGATTGGCAGCAGGACTGCATAGCTTAAAGCGGCGCAAAAACTTGCCTAGACTTTTATGTCATCGCTCACTTCTTCTACGGATGAGATATAAAATTATATGTATGTGCGTTTGCCATTCTCGACGACTCGTTAGAGCCGGACCGGCTCGATGCAACATTCATTAGACGGATAAAGGCGATTTTCGAACGGTGCTTTCGATTTGCACATGCTGGACAAACATTTGTTTAGTGGTTCGGGGTTACCGTAAAGACGGAAAAGCGGAGGTTCAACGATTCCGACTGGTTTTGACTGATTGTTTAGCGGGGATTTGAGAGATTGAGAGCGGGTGAATAATAGGCGATTTTTTGCGGATGATGGGAAGGTGAACGCTTGAGGTGTGTCTCAGGCGGCTTGAACTTGGGGCATATTTGGCGTTTCATGACGGCTCGAGTGTGAAAAAGTAGGGTCCTCGTTTCTGTTTGTCTATTGTTCGTGGTTTGATGGCGATTTTATTAGCCGAAATTACTGAAAATCGATTATCAAAATTTGTTTTTCTACCCCTTCCAAAAACTTGATGACGTAATCGTAAAATTTTGCTAAATAAATCGTACCTAAAGTGAGAAAAAAAATCGCAAAAGCAAATTTTTGAAAATACTCAAGTTTCTCTTAAAATATCGAGAATTTTGGTTGTTTCAAGATAGCAAGATTTTCTCCAGTTTTAAATTTCTTTTTTCCCTACAAAAAAATCTTAATCTTTATTCAAAAGATTTAATTTTGAAACTCTTATCTTGAAATTTCAAAAAATATGGATTTTCAAACTATCAAGCTTTTCGCTAGATATAACTTATTCATCTTTTTTAAAACAATAACTTTTTGCATAAAATGGTAAAATATTCCGACAAATTTCTCAAAATATTCACTTTATACTTCAATATATTTTTTTTCAACAAAGCGTTGAGCTCTTGTCTGCGGTTTAACACTCATGAGATTTCAAATATTTTTATTAAAACTTCTGTTTCTTTAGATTTGTTAACTACGTTTTTTTTAAACACTAGAAATTTTCTCTCAAGTTTTAAGATTTAGGGCCTCGGGGTGTCTTTTTTAAGACTGAGTGTCTTTTTAATTATAAAGGAGTGTCTTTTCAAGAATTCTACAGAATTTTGGGGGACAACTGATGTATTTTTAAAGAAATCTGAGGATTTTCCGTGGCCTTTTGGGTCCTTTTTTACAAAATTTCGGTAGCCCCTCGTAGGGGCTAGTGTCTATAGATTGTCGAATGTCTGTTTTTGAGAAATCTACAGAATTTTGGTGGCTCTTGGTATCTTTTTTTTAAGAATTCTACAGAATTTGAGAGTGAAGGGTCTAGTATCCCTTTTTCAGAATTCTACAAAATTTAGAGGGCCCGTAATGGCGCTTTTAATGAATCCTACAGAATTTCGGGGGATCTAGTACATTTTTAAAGAATTCTACACAATTTCAGAGGCTCCTAGTCTCTTTTTTAATAATCGTACAGAATTTCCACAGCCCCTAGATTTTTTTAAGAATTCCACAGAATTTCGGTAGCCCTTCTTGTCTTTTTCCAAGAATGTACTGGTTTTTAAGACATTCTACAGAGTCTTACAAAATCTTGAGGGACCCTATAGTGCCTTTTTTAACGAATTCTACAGAATTTCGAAGGATCCACTGAGTTTTTAGGGATTCTACAGAATTTCGAGGGACTTTAGTAACTTTTTTAATTTCACTGAGCCCTAGTGTCTTTTTTAAGAATTATACAGAATTTTGGGGGACAACTGGTGTATTTTTAAAGAAATCTGAGGATTTTCCGTGATCCCTAGGGTCCTTTTTTACAAAATTTCGGTAGCACCTCGTATCTTTTTTAAAGAATTTAACAGGGAAGGGGCTAGTGTACTTTTTTTAAGAATTCTACAGAATGTCGAGTACCTGTTTTTGAGAAATCTACAGAATTTTGGTGGCTCTTGGTGCCTTTTTTTAAGAATTCTACAGAATTTGAGAGGGAAAGGTCTAGTATCCCTTCTTAATAATTCTACAAAATCTAGAGGGCCCGTAATGGCGCTTTTAATGAATCCTACAGAATTTCGGGGGATCTAATAGATTTTTAAAGAATTCTACACAATTTCAGAGGCTCCTAGCCTTTTTTTTAATAATTGTACAGAATTTCCACAGCCCCTAGATTTTTTTAAGAATTCTACAGAATTTCGTTAGCTCTTCTTAACTTTTTCTAAGAATTTTACAGATTTTGGGGATCTCATAATTTTTAAAAAATTCTACAGATTTTCGAAGGTCCTTGGCGTCATTTTAAAAATTTACAAAATTTGAAACGGTAGAGGCTAGTGTCTTTTTTTAAGTTTTCTACTGAATTTTGGTGAACCCTACTATCTTTTTCTAACAATTGTACAGAATTCTCCTCCCAAACAAGTATATTTTTAAATAATTTTGAAGAATTTCGGTGACCCTTAGTACCTTTCTTTAAAAGAATCCCACAGAATTTCGGTAGCTTTAATGTTTTTTCAGAATTATACAGAATTTGGAGGGAACTAACGTCTCTAAAGAATTTCACAGAATTTCGGTGGCCCATAGTAAGTTTTTTTAAGAATTCTACAGGATTTGAGAGATGGGGGGGGGGCTAGTGTCTTTTTTTAAGAATCCTACAAATTCTCAAGGGTTCCTACTGTCCTTTTTAATGAATTCTACAGAATTTCGAAGGATCCAGCGAATTTTTAAGGATTTTACAGAATTTTCCAGGGCCTCTAGTGTCTTTTAAAAAATTATACAAAATCTCGAAGGCCCCTAGTGTCTTTTTTAACGAATTCTACAGAATTTTGAAGGATCCAGTGAGTTTTTAAAGATTCTACAGAATTTCGAGGGACCTAAGTAACTTTTTTAATTCCACTGTCTCCTAGTGGCATTTTTAAGAATTATACAGAATTTCGGTGGTCGCTAGTTTCCTTTTTAAAGAATTCTACAGAATTTCTGCGGTTGTTTTTGACTTTTTTAATAATTTTGTGCAATCTCTAGGGCAGTGTCTTTTTTAAAAAATTCTGCAGATTCTGGGTGACCCTCGGTGTCTTTAAAAATACACAAAATTTAAGAGGGGAGGGGCTGGTGCCTTTCTTTAAGAATTCTACAAAATCTTTTTTAGCGAATTGTACAGAATTTTGTTTCTAGGGTTTCTATAGAATTTCGAGGGACTTTAGTGACTTTTTTTAATTTCACTGGCCCTTAGTGTCGTTTTTAAGAAATTTTCAGAATTTCGGTGGTTCCTAGTTTCTTTTTTAAAGAATTCTACGCAATCTCTAAGGCCCCTAGTGTCGTTTTTAAAAATTCTACAAAATTTCGGTGGCGATTGGTGCCTTGTTTAAAGAATTCTACGTGTTTTAAGGGGAACTAGTGTATTTTTAAAGAATTCTGCGGAATTTCGTTGGTGTTTAGTGTCTTTTTTAAGAACTCTACAGAATTTCAGTGGCATTTAGTGCTTTTTTTAATTCTACGGCATTTGAGAGGGGAGGCGTTAGTGCACTTTTGTAAGAATTTTACAGAATCTCGAGTGTCTTTTTGAGGAATCTACAGAATTTGGAGGGAACTGGTGTTTTTAAAGAATTTTACAGAATTTCGAAGGACCCAGTGAATTTTTAGGGATGCTACAGAACTTCGAGAGATTTTAGTGACTTGTTTAATTTTACTGGCGTTTAGTATTTTTTTAAAGAATTGTACAGAATTTCCGGGGCACCTAGGGTCTTTTTTAACAATCCTACAAAATTTCAGCGGTCGTTTTTGTCTTTTTTAATAATTCTGCGCAATCTCTAGGTACCCTAACGTCTTTCTTAAAGAATTATACAGAAATTGAGGGTGATCTAGTGTATTTTTTGAAGAATTCTACAGAATTTTGTGGCTCCTAGTTTCTTTTTTTAAAGAATTCAACGGATTTTAGGGTAACTAGTGTATTTTTAAAGAATTCTGCGGAATTTTGTTGGCCTTTAGTGTCTTTTTAAAGAATTGTACAGAATTTCGGTGGCCTTTAGTGCTTTTTTAATTCTGCAGCATTTGAGAGGAGAGGGGCTACGGTACTATTTTTAAAGTCTATGGAATCTCGAGTGTCTTTTTAAGAATTCTACATAATTTCGGGGCCCACAAGTAACTTTTTTAAAGAATTCTACAGAATTTAGGGAAATTAGTGTCTTTAAAGGATTTTACGGAATTTCGCTAGACAATATTAGTGGCCCTTAATGTCCCTTTTTTAAGAACTCTACAGAATTTCAGTGGCATTTAGTGCTTTTTTTAATTCTACGGCATTTGAGAGGGGAGGCGTTAGTGCACTTTTGTAAGAATTCTACAGAATGTCGAGTGTCTTTTTGAGAAATCTACAAAATTTGAAGGGAACTAGTGCTTTAAAGAATTTTACAGAATTTCGAAGGATCCTGTGAATTTTTAGGGATTCTACAGAATTTTCCTTAGTGTCTCTTAAAAAATTATACAAAATCTCGAAGGCCCCTAGTATCTTTTTTAACGAATTCTACAGAATTTCGAAGGATCCAGTGAGTTTTTAAAGATTCTACAGAATTTCGAGGGACCTAAGTAACTTTTTTAATTCCACTAGCTCCTAGTGGCATTTTTAAGAATTATACAGAATTTCGGTGGTCCCTAGTTTCCTTTTTAAAGAATTCTACAGAATTTCTGCGGCTGTTTTTGACTTTTTTAATAATTTTGCGCAATCTCTAGGGCTCCCAGTGTCTTTTTTAAAAAATTCTGCAGATTCTGGGTGACCCTCAGT